AACATATATATATATATATATATATATATATATATATATATATATATATATATATATATATATATATATATATATATATATATATATATATATATATATATATATATATATATAGATAGTCACACAAGAACCCAATAACACAGTGAAAACCGCATCTCAATATTTTTATCCTAAGGCAAAATATGAATAAAAACACTTAAAACTCCAAAGAAGTTGAATTTTGGTATAACCACTCTGGGGGTTGATGATATTGAAATAAAATTTCTTTGTTTATCTTTGTTTATATTATATATTTTTTACAATATCGTACAAGTTATTACTAAGTGTGATATGATTATCTGTTTTAAAATATTGGACATTATCACGTCTTAATTTTTAATAGGAGAGTAGACTAACTTACAAAAAAGATTTGAATTTGTCTCAGCTTTCAAACGGTGTTTAATGTAAGTACAAGTAATATAAGAAAGTTTAGCAGAAAATGGGTTTTTAATTCAAATATAGTAATTATGCCCTCTGGTGACTAATTCAGAACTTGAAAAATAAATTTCAGCATGTTCTTTTGGTCGACTTATTCAGCAATTTTCTTTTCAAATTTTTTGAAACTCCTGCACTGTTCCGTTACTATATTAAGAGATAGTAATTAATTCGTGAAAAGTATTGCTTACTTGAGGAAAAGCATATAACTATACTTTACTATTTTCCCTCTATTCTTGTCGTTTCCTATACTTTTTGAAGCCACTTTTCCATATTAATTTTCATTTTATTATATGACTTCAAAATTATATAATATTCGGTTTGAATAATCGTATACAATCAATGAATAAAATCATACATTTATATTTTAAATTTAATATTGTGTTTATTTAAAATTATATTTTTTTCTTACAATGAACCAAAGACATGTTTTTATTTTATGGTGGCAGGTTTGGGGTTATCGTCGAATTGACGTTATTATAATGAAATTAGCAAACACCAATGACTTTTCTGCGCTGTACATATTAATTTTGTTGGAATCTTGTTATTTATGACAAAATATATCAAACATGTCAAGTATGAAAATGCATGAAAGATAATATTCCAATTCACCACTGAGACTCAAATTAGAAGCTGGAAACTGGCAAAAAGTCCTAGAGGATGGGAATCCACAGAAATAACAGAAGTTAAAATAAAAGTTAAAAAAAAGTCTTAAGAGTCGATATAGGAAAAACATTTTAATAGAAATGATCGAGTCCGAAGACAAACTTTCCATTACTATGCTAGATGCAGTCAACTTTATTAGTAAAGAGGTGACAGCAGAAACAATTCAATACTAATATCGTCATGACTTTACCGAGAGAGAATGCGAACATGACTTGGAGATGATCAGCCACTAAGCAGTTTCAAACAACAATTACGTTTACAAGTGAGGAGTTGCAAGATTTTATGGTGGTAGACCAGGATTTGCCTACAACAGCAGACTTGACAGAGGATGCCATATTACAACAAGCAAGAAAGGGTGAGGAAGCGCACCAAGAGGAAGAAGAAGACGAAGAAGTTGATCTGGGACCACCACCAACCATTCAACAAGCCGTTTATTCAGTTAAGCTGCTAGAGAAATTTTTTATGTATCATGTGGAAGATGCCACTCCCGAAGAAATGGTGAAAATACAAGCCAAAGTACGAGATGCGTATTGGCATACTAAAAAAATTAAATTAAAATTAAATGTAGTTCTTAAATATTTATATAAAATATTCCTAAGTAGATGTTAAAATATGTATATAAAGTAATTAAATATTACCTATGCGTATTGTTATTTTTCAAGTGCCTAAAACTGTTTATAACGAAACTCTTAATAAAGAAGAAAAAGCAGTCCCTTCAAATTCGCTATGTAGAGTTTCAAATGTTTATTTTTTTTTTTAATGCAAAAAAAACAACAATCTAATCGAGCACCTTTGATAATTTAAATTAGTTTTAAAATTTTTGTTTGTTTAGTTTGTTTAACTTAAAAGTATTTTTTTAAAATTCAATTTAACTTAACTTTAATTAATCAGGAAAGCAATAATAAAATAATTGGTCAAGTGGTCAAGGACGTTCGGAAGCCATTTTTGGTGTCAGATTTGACATATTAATTATGTTGCAAAATATATTTTACAATTCTGAAAAATCGTTTAATTACGATTAAATGATCAAAACATATTCAATTCAAATCTAAGTGATGGCAAGTGAACTAATCCTATAGAAAAAGTTTTATAACAACAAAAACAATTAATTTTTTGTTTCCACGCTTTTTTGAAACATCCTGAATTGAAAAAAAAACTATTTTTTACCTTTTTAACCAATTTTTTATAATTATGATAGATAGGGGAAGAAGTTTTCTTCCTTAGTCTTCATAGGACAAATTATTTCAAAGTTAACATCTAAATCGATTTCATTTACTCTGCAATTCTTATAACTTTCTTAAACTAAACATATTAGTAATTATGAAAATATAAAAAGTCCTTTTATTATTAACAGACAAGACAAAAACTTACTTAAAAATGTCGAGCACAAACTTAACACACACTCGACACTGTTGTTTCCATGCAAATCGAGCGCACAATTCAAAAATATTTCGTAGTCAACGGAGTTTCATAAATTTTATGTCTCTGCGATCTCGTATGACGCGCAATTGTGGTATATTCTATACCAAAGCCTCTTGGGTAAACGTGATGTTTGGTATTTCGAATGTCACGTTGTCACCCTCATGCTTCTTTGTAATATTGGTGAATTTGTGCTTCAGGGCTGCCACAAAGGTCATGTTTTATTTCCGATTTAATTTATCGAATTACATAAGTTATGAAATTAAACGATATTTGGTTTCCAGCTAGGAAAAAATTTGTTACCTTACTCTCATAAGGGCGGTATACAATTATAATACTGTAGAGTAGAATACTTGCAGGAAATATCCCCTTCGGAAGACAGTAAACACTTATCCACCGATGCCGAGTAGATTGCAAACACTGAACTGTCAGGATGCAATCAAGATGTAACTGGGCGTAAAATTAGCAAGTTATACGACAAATAAAGTGTGGTAACATTAAATAAATAAATAAAAAGACGTGGAAAAAGTAAAAATGGAATTAAATGTGGAGTAGTAGTAGTCGTAGTAGAATCTAATTGGGATCATCAAATTATTCGAAAACTGAAAAAAAATTCTTCCCAACCCCACTTTTAATCAAAACTCCGCCCTTAGAATGACGCGTAAACAACAATTTGCAGCTACGTAGACGATAACTTCATTCAGGAAAGTTGTACCACACATTAAAAAATTTTTCTCAGGCTACTGTAATACTATTTTTCTACTCCCGTATGTAAAATACCTAATTACACACCGATCTAGCGTGCGGGAAGCGTCAGATTCGTTTAACACGGATCCGAGCCACTTCGGACATTTCCGGGATTTTACCGCACGGGTTTGGGAGCAATCGGATGTTTTTAGAAATATTTCCCACGCTTTGTTTGTCAATTCTAACGGTCATGTCAGTGTCATATAGTCATATTAGTTACATATAGTTTTACGAAAATGAACCCAAAAACTAACGGTCGTAGAAAAAGTATAGAATGCAACACGTGCGGTAAACTTTTTAAGTCACTCGTTTATTAAACACTCGCTCCGCTGCGCTCCGCTCGTGTCAAATAAACTCGTGAGTCAAAGGCCGTTTACCGCACTTGTTCGCCACTTTGGACATTTCCGGGATTTTACCGCACGGGTTTGGCAGCAATCGGATGTTTTCAGAAATATGTCCCACGCTTTCAATTTTGACGTTTGTCGTAAAAAGTAATAAATAGAAGTTTTAAAAATTATAAGGAAAGACAGTTTCAAGCCTTCCGCCATTTCATTATACAATTTAGACCTGCACAATGTATGTAACGATAGCGATATTGATATTGATATATTAAATCTGTGTCCATAATAAATAATAATTGCTATTCTTGTAAATGCAAAATAAAATATCGTGCAATGTTCTTTAATGCTAATAATACTGATTTAATAGTAACCGCTGTCATTTAAATTTTACAACTTGCAAGCATCTTTCTTTGCTATATCGCTGAATGGCCTCTACATAGAGTTTATTATAATATACAGTGTGTTTGAAAAAAAAAACACAAAAAACTTAAGAAGGTGATACCTCGCTTAGCACAACTTTGGGTCCAAAGCTTAAGGAACAACTTATACAATGACATATTTTTTTTAGAAAGTTATTTGTTTCCTGCAAAAATCTAAAGTAATACCCAATGAAATAAAAAAATATTACGGATGTTCCTTGGAAGCATAATGGTGTATATCTTTTAATGTAAAAGTATCCTTAACGTGAATATTTTATTCAGCTGATTCCACTGCTAATGTAAAATATTTTTCTGCATCCTGGTGTCTAATTTTTTTTTCTGGTTGAATTTTGATTTCTTGGTTTCAAATATCTCACGACGTTTCCATTATTTTTTTTTTGTAATAATGGTTGGTCATTTTGGCACTACATTCGCACTACAACGCTACAAGCAAATACTTCCGACGGTAAAATAATACGTAATTTATTAATCATAATTTTTACTTGGTGTAAATACAAATACGATGTTTTTAAAGAAGGTACTTGTCGGCTATTATAGAAAAATGTACTAAATAATAGCGGGCACCCTGTACTGAGCAAAGGGCGTTAAATATTAACCCAACCCGTATGCTTGCGTGAAGTGAAATAAATGAGTTCATAAAATATTAAGGAAATGCCATCATCTTTCTCAATTTATCGCCGTAGCGGGTAATATAAGTAGCTACGGCAATTTTTTTATTTTTAACATTTCAGAGATTGCAAAAATATGCAAGGACAAGTTGCGTTACCCAGTATAAGCACTATTAGAGACGATTATGTATAAAAAATGAGCGATCCAACTTGTACGTCCACCTCCTACCGACCAGAAGCTCAACGTTGCTATAGATCGCACTCAAATTCGCGTGGCGCCATCTATTGGCTGAACCGCTACTCACCCGCAGAATCCTGAAAGGACTCGACGCGATTGAACACACTCCTTCGCCGCCATCGCCGGGTGGTTTGTCCACTCTGACCTCAGTGGGCAGCATCGTTTGTGTCTCCGAATTTGCCGCGTGTCTAAGTGATCGAAGAAACCAAGACTGCAACACCACGCACCAGATGGTAACAAAATATTTCTTTCGGCATAGCACCAAGATAGTTTGAAGTCACCTAATGCTAGAATGAAAACGTTTTGGAGCTCACCAATACGTTGTTTCTAGTATTATTCTTGGAGTCACGTTCCTCGATTTGATCCGTTATTTTTGGAAGTACGTCGATGTTTTCGGCAGCCAGTGGAATTTTCTCCGGTTCCATTATATTGACCGGTAACACCGTGATTACCGGCGTTGCTGGGTGGTTATTTCGGGTATCGTGACTAGAAATTTGGTCGTCTATTCGCCACGTCCTGATCAGTTGCAGAACGTTTTCGAAATTCGGGGGCTTGAAGGGCATTGCTGATGCTTAACGCTGGAATCATCAAATCAGGTGTTAATGGCGAGGTGTACGTTTTCAAATAACAATACAAGAGTACAGTGTACACCGCGGCCAAATAAAACGATCCATTAGACGATCTGGAAACCCATAGGAAAATGAGGTTATGTGTTTTTCTTTTTCATGTTTTGATTGCTGCACATAAAATTGTGTTGTGACGCTACTGATCCAGATTGCAACGCAAAATTTACTCACAGACTAAGGAGATGATGAACTACTCGATCAGTTTGACAGATGCGCCTCAGCTTATACAGGGTGTCCTAAATAGGTGGTGCCGTTTTGATAAATTCAATTAACGAAATCTCAATATTTTCAAATTCAACACCCTATAATTTTATTCAGATATCAATTCTAGGATAAAAAATAAGGTAATTTTTCTTACTTTTTGAGATATCCGAAGTTTAAGATAACACCTTTATACGGGTGTTACAATTAACCGTAAATACGATGAGATTTTGAGGATAATGAATCCATTAGGAATTTCTTAAGAAAGTGACCTTTATTTTAACCAAGGATTCCTAAAATGTCGAAATATACAGGGTGTTTTGTTTAAAATAATTATTATATTACAAACTAAACTTCCTTAATTTGCTCTCACGCTACTCTGTAAATGGAAGTTGAGTTTGTAAATAAATAAATAAATAAATATGGAACACCCATACACGAAGTCAGACTCAATCAGTTTTTCAGAAATTTATTAACCTTTATAGACTAAGCACCTAAGATCATCTTCAAGTCTTTGTTGACTTATTGAAACACCCAGAAATAAGATCGTATTTGAATATGCGGTAACTCAACTAAGTTACTTCTATCAATCTGAAGCAAACTCTTTATAGGAATAGTTATATTATACGAACTTATTTTCTGCCGAGTAAAGATCAAATTTCCCATTTTGCATATTTCTTAAAGTAACCTTACCTCTTCGTAATCACTGGAATAAAACTTATTCGGTTTAAGCCTCTCCGAGATGGGTTGAAAATTTTGTAAAAATCCTTGTTTTTTTTTTGCAGAGGAATTACTTTGTTTAACGCATTCGAGAAACCAACAACCATCGAGCATCTGTTACGTTAAAACGATGAAAAATCGTTTTACTACGATGTCCTCTTGGCCGTTTTTAATTGTCAAAGAAGCCTACAAAACTTCATGTATCAAAACTAATTGGTTACTCGACATTGAATGGGTCGGCTGTCCGCATCACCGTCTTTTGTATTTAGTCATCAGACTGCAACTGACTGCGACACGGTTAGTATGGGAAATCTTGGACGATTTAGCAACAGTGTATTTTTCTACGTCACTGTTGTTGGGATAATAGATAATATATTCAGTTTTCTAAGATTTTCATTTATTTTGTAAGATTTTTTTTCTTTTTTTCAATTTCCTCAGCATTGTGGTAATCGTTTACACTTCTATAGTTTGAATTTTGAATTCCCATTTATGAATCGTTCGATCTTGAGCAGCTTTGGATACTTTTTAATGAAAAAACGGGGTTAGTTTTGGTTAGTTTGACATTATTCGATTAAATTCGATAATTACAATTCATTCCAACAATAATATACAGTTCATTTCGTTTAAAATAACAAAATTATCACGTGTATCGTAAAAATGGTAAATCTGACAACATTGTTGTTAGAATGTTTGAATTTTGCATCTTTTGCACTTTTCAAGTTTTTAAGTGTCCCGATACTTTTTACTAACCCTGTATAATCAAGGCCTACCACAAAATAATATTAAAAAAATTGTATCCAGTGCGTTTTTTAGTTAATTTTATAAGTAAGCATTAACAATACAATTTCATTTCAAATTTAAAATCAAGACTTATGTATTAAATAATTAAATACTTTAAATACTTATTATTGATAAAACAGTCACACAAGAGAGGATGCGACCAGAAATATTGTTAATAATGAAACACTGGGAAAAAATTTATTAAATGTCGAGCATCCACCATTTGTCAATAATATAATAAAGTGGATCGTGGAATATTTGAGTACCAATACGGGGTGTTCAATATTATGGTGCAGACAGTGTCGTAATCGCTATTGAAAGACGCAAGAAGGAAAATTACCATATAGGAGAACACATTGGCATTGAACACTCTGCATTAAACGAGCAAAAAAACGGACGGAGTCTCAGTCGCAGCCCGGTCGGTAAAGTAAAGGGATATTGGCCTTTTCATATCCGTAATTACTATTTATTCTGCTGGAAAATTAGGTCCCCTGTCAAATTAATTTAAGTGCAACGTAACATTAGCGTGCGATGCATTTAGCATACAGCGTTATTATAAATTAATGGCAATGGAATTGGTGGAGATTAAGGTTTTTTTTGCTCGACAACGATTTGCCGATATCTGAACCGAATATTTGCATTCGCAAATGGCGGGTACACATAGGGTGTTATTTTTTCTTGAATACCGATTTTTTAGAGATATATAGATAGATTTATTTGACTGAATTACATTACATAGCGTGTTTGCAGCACGTCTAAGTAAAAAAAGAGAAAAAATATACAGTTATATACATATGTATACATACATGCCTATACAAATACGATTAGGAAAAGTCAATAGTAATAGGTATAACAACGTAATACATAGCACATAAAAACAAACAGCAATAAAAAAAAGAAAAAAACTGAACACACCGAATACAACTGAACAGTGGCCTGTAGAAGATTACAGATCAAAAACAATGCTCAGAAAATAATTGTATTTTAATTTTGATTTTTAATTAAGGTATATAAACTTAGGTCAAGAGAATTTTTCATGCATTGAAGAGGAAGTTGGGTATTTATGATTTGAATTTCTAGTACCGTGTGATACATGTATACCGATAGCAGTGGCACAACCCCAAGAATCTGAAACAGCGGTTGACAATGGTCTCTATATCCTGCGTTGGATATAATTCTGATCGCTCTGTTTTGCATGCGACAAATTTTTTGTGGAATCTATTGAGTTTCCCCACGGTATAACAGCATATGATAAAACTGAACGAAAAAGAGCATAGTAGCTCGAGACTAGATAATCCTGTCCGATTAAATTTTTCAATCGTCATAACAAAATGTTGACACTTGAGAGATGCTTTCCTAAATAAGCAATATGGACCTTCCAAGAGAGCCTATCATCCAGGACCGCACCCAACAACTTCGCAGATTTTCCTTCCGAAATATTTATATTAAATTTAATTTTAGGCGATTCGCACTAAACCAGATATTGCCATGTTCTTTCGCCAACTGTGTCTCTCCTTTAAGAATATCAACATTAATATTAAATTAACCGCAACCACAGGGTGCATATGGCCTAAGAGATCATTAATATAAACAAAAAACAATGAAACCCTGTGGAACTCCGTGCATTACATTTCGTAAACCTGACATTTTGTTATTGCAAAAAACTGATTGCTTTCTATTAGGGAGATAAGAGAATTAGACCTCTAGTGCAATGGGTTCCAAACCATAAAATTCCATTTTTCCATTAAAATTGAATGACTGACACAGTCAGAGAGGTCACACAGCGTTAAAGTGCTACGCACACCCCCCTCAAAACCCTCAACTAAAGAAACCAGGGAAAATTTGAATGAGCATTTAGGTTTAATCAAGTTATGCATCACCTTAGATGGCCTAGCAGGAGTTTCGTCCAAAATTTCTAATATTTTATGCGCCACAGTAGTAAAAATCAAGTTGAGTTCGTCAGAATATAAATCTTCCATTAAATTACATTTTGCTGTGCTGCACCTCTCGGTTGCCAGGAATCTTTGATCTTGTTTTTGGATAAATGTAAATAGTTGGTGTAAGCCAGTTTCCTTGTATTGAATTTTGTATTTTTTTATATTGAAAAGTCATCTGGATTCTTTGTAATTTCCGCGATACTACGAATTTTTGATAATTTATCTCGCATGACTCTGAGACTGTCATTGAACCAATTAACTGGAGATTTAGATTTGAGTGACTTTCTAATCAAAAGAAAAGGCAAATGCCAAATCATTAACGTTGGTGCCAATGGTATTATAATTTAATGTATTTGACGACGATACATATTAAATTTTTCATAATTTTTCGACAGTACTTTCGACACTCTATTTTATTATTCGAGAATTTCAAATTATGATTGTTAAACTCGATATGAATAATCTGGGCCCTAGGATCCGACAAACAAGGATCGATTACCGCAGTGTAAAACCGATATTTGTCTATGCTGGTAATAATTTTATCTAAGCAATTAGCGCAGCCATTGGCCACTCTGGTGGGTTCCCGAATAGTAGGCTCCAATCTAAACTGGTGAATTAGCGATAGAAAATCATCCAATCTAGAGCTAGAAATATTAAAATAAAAATTAAAATCACTCAAAACAACCATCTGTACACATGTTCGATAAATATTGTTGACTACACTTTCTAAACTGTTAATAAATTTTATAAAATTAGTTTAGTAAAAAATAGTTTGATAGTTGGCATATAGATGGCGCAAAATTCACAATCAACTTGTAAACTTGGTAGTTTAGTTAAATATTATTACTCGATTGACATGTGTGGGTACTATTTTTATTTTTCTTCGGTTAAACTATATTGTAAATGCATCAATAAAAATTTTAATTTTTATTTAATTAAATTTCACACTTGCAGAAAAAAAATGCTTGGAAATTTTTATTATTTCTACACTTCGACCGTCATGATACAATAAAGAAAAAGTAAATAAAAATCTTCATTGAACTTTGCGCTTCTCTATTTTCAGCAAAAACGTTAGACTACCATCACGAAAATTGGGTAAAAAATTCTTTTCCAAATATCGCACCAGACTGCGTAATATTTTATGAGAACGCTAGCTATCCCAACACTTTAGCAAATAAAATACCAACGATCAGCAGCAAACAAAGATGTATTGCGAGAGTTCTTTACTCATCGTGACTTTTGTTTTGAAAATACATACACAAACAACAACTAATAGAAGATTAAAAAACCATATGGTTTGATACATAAAACAATTGTAATTTGAAACCTACAGAAATAATATGGATCGAATTAAAAAACAAAGTTATACTCAATAATTTAAACCCAGCCGCGCAGATTTAAACGATTTTGACGACTATTTTTTTTTACTATGTATTAATGTATGTAAATGTATTAATATATTTTGCGTTTCAATTTCATTACTTATTGTTCAAAACTTATTTCAAATTCTTATTAAATACTTCAATAATGTTCTTGCAAACTTTATGAAAATATCCTTATTTTTATGTTAAACTTTTAAATATTTAAAATTAAATTATCTCTATTTCAAACAATTTTATGAAAAATTCCACGTTTTCAGTTTATATGTTTAATTGCAAAAAAAATATTAGCGACTCACTAGATGAAGTAAAAATCGATACTTAATGACCCCCGCATTGATTTAACGAGAAAATGGCGTCCGAAAATGCGGAAAAAAACTTACCGCAAAAATAACGAACGCATCCAAAACCTAAGGGGACTTTACGCTCACTTTAACAGCACATTATTTTTAATTCGTCACCAAACAACGCCACAATAAAATCGACGTATCTACAAGTATCGTCATGTTTCCCGAGAGCGGAAAAAGTATGTTCGATGATAGCTATAGATGTACGTACTCAATCGAGGCGTGACGATCAGCAGAGTCAACACTTTCGAAAATCAATGGTGCTCCGTTTAGATTAAGTTGAGTTTAGTGCAGATTCGATTGTTAGGGAATGGATTCTGGTGATTTTTTTTTTAAATTGCCATCTTATACGGCGACGATATAAAGTGAGGATGTCTCCTAACCTATACGGAAGCAACACGTAGGTCGCACACTAAAAAAGATTAGAAACATCATAATTAATAATAATAAAATTGTATGATTTATCGCCCCTACGACAACTCTCCATTAGCAGAAGTCAACGGTAAATAGTTTCAAAAGTTATAAGAAAATGGTAAATACAAAAGCTGTAAAGATTATTAGAGTGCACCATTCAAAATTACTTTAAACTATACAGGGTGGCTTAAAAAAACGCGACGAATATTTAAATTGCTTTTTGAATTCGTTATGAAGTTTTTCAACTTCATTCAATAATAATACATAATACATAACTAAATTTAATCAATTTCCCAATATTTTAATTTTCCCATAAACAAAATACAAATTTTAATACAGAGTGTTCAAAATAAATGAATATGTCATTTTATTTTCTGGAAGATCTTACATAAGCCTACCAATTTTATTATGTATGTTATGTAAGTATGACAAACAAAATAAAGTATAAAATATAAAGTATTGATTTTCCTAAAGCTACAATAATTGATATCATTTACACATTGGAGAGACGGAAAAAAATAGCATGTTGGCTGTAAGACTTTACGAGATCAAGTACCCTAAAATTCTTCTACCAAGTAGACAATCTCTTCAGTCTTTAACGGGACGGTTTGATGCTAGTGGTAGTATTGAATACAAAAAATGAAAACTGATAAACCGGAATGCTACCACTGAGGAAAAAGAATTGGAAATTTTATTTCAAGTTCAAGATAATCCATGTACATTTCAAATATGACTTTTTCACCGATTTTCACCGAGATTGCTTATAACTGTCTGTTGCTTATTTACGGCCCAAAAAAGTTCTTTTTCCAATTCATTTTTCAATTTTAACAGAGGCCTGTTAACTAATAGTTTTATCATGGGTAGCAAATATTATTTCAATAGTCTTGCACAGAAAGGAGTGTATATTAATAAAAGTTGTATATTTTCGTGAGATATTGGAAAAAAAATAACAGTATACGAGGTGTGTTCAAAAAGTAAGGCAACTTTTAAGTATTTTTTTATTTATCAAAATTCACCAAAATTCACCACTTCAAAATAACAAAGTAATGCCTCCCCTCCCCCCCCCCTCAGATCCCCCACTAGATATAATACACTTGTGTCAACGTTTCTTCCAATCCTCGAAGCAGTTCTGGTAAGCACTTTTCGGTATTGCTTTGATTTCTTCCAGTTATTTTTTTCGTAATCTCCTCAGTCCTTCCATGTGTTCTATATATTAGGGACATTTGTACCAACACAACCAAAAAAAATCCAAAATCTAATGAAAGTCGCCTTACTTTTTGAACACACCTCGTATGTGGTGAGCCATTTAAGAAAATCGAGATTTTTTATTTTTCGTTTATATATCTTTTACGTTTTTTTTGGAACGATGGTAATTGTTCAATATTCAAACAAAGGAACAAATACTCCAATAACTATAAATAATTGTATATTTAACACCAAAGAAAAGCTCATTGGTGCTGTAATAAAAGAACCAAATGAAGAATACAAATCAGTATAATTTACTCCTAACTGGTTCTTAATTTGTTGGATTGGTTACTAATGGTCACAAAATTGGTGTGTTTCCTTTTAATAAAGTTGTGGTATTTCCAAAATAAACGTCTATTTAAACTTTTGTCTTATTTCTAACAATATTCATCTTTCCACTGTTAGGTGCAAATAGAACAAAAGTTATTTGTCTATATATATTTTAGAATGTCAATGTAAAGTCACTTTAGATATGCGGCGCTGGAAAATGAAAATATGGAAAGTGCGCAAATATCGCTATCTGTTATTAGATGATATAATGTTATATATAACAATGTGAAAATGACTAAAATAAGTCGACCTGACCCGATGCAGTTCCAGAATTCCTTCCAATCCGCTGCTCTCGCTAACGTTCCATGGCATTGTTACAAGGTACTCGCTTAATTTTTATGTTGTTACATTTGAAATTAAAATTTAGTACTAATATTTTGTCTTACTTTTTTATAATACGATCTGCAGTTCAAAATAAATGATCAAACGAACCTTTTCTGTACAACGCGAGTAATTTTAATATTAATTACTTTCACTTACTAACTGCAATTAACTTTAGGTGATCGAAGACCTTATATTAGAATTATACGTAAAGTGTTTTCTTACTAACAAAATCGAATAACCGACCATCTTCAAAAAATACCACGTAAAAAACCTTCAATTTTGTTTACTAGAATGCGATAACTAGGTTGATCCTCAAAATAATTTATTTATATTAATTTTATTTTTATTATTTTTTATTGTTGTTATTAATGAGATTTTCCGTAATTAAGCAAATAATTATTATTTGCTCTGACTTTTGTAGCATATGTTATGTTTTTAGTAAACTTTAAGTAGACAGTCGTTTAAATGTCGGTGACTACAACATACAGGACTGCACTAACGGATCATTCGACGATCGTCTTAATTAAGAATGCCAACCGCGAGGGTAGTTATATTGGAGAGACGACCGCATGTTGTTCTAAAATATTTGCGTAAGGGGTCACACAAGTTCCTCACATGTTCACACATTTTCTCCTTTCCTTGAAAATTGTCTATGTCCTAAATTTTAGCATTTAACAATAAGAATAAACATTATGACGAGCCCTCAAATTTGAAACCAGGTGTTCTCGTGAGATTTAAATTACATGACTGATTATAGGTCGCAGTTTAAAGTTCCTAATGCTCCATTGTACCTGTACAGGATGTTGTCCATAAGTTAAATAGAAATGTTGCATAGTTTCATCTAGTTTGTTTTTTTAATTCTAAATTAAAGTCTATAATACTAAATAATTGTTCCTATAAGATAGCATTAATCATTAAATTGCTTTTGTGGTTAAAGCAATACTTTGTTGTTTTCAGTAAAACAATTATGTAACTCCAAGCTGTTATTTTCTGGTGTATTGTAAGGTTGAGTTATTATGCTGACAGATTGTGTAGTATTCTAAAGACGCCTAATAACAAAACTTGGCAGCAGTATCATACAATAATAGGATAACATCAAATTGACAATTATTTCAGGAACTATAAATTCTCAGAATTTTAATATATGGTGAAAACTTGACTTTTTAAGTTTTCTATAATCAAGGCTCCCTTTTGACGGCAAATTGTTTATTGTTTTAGAGCTTGTAAACGATGTTAATGACATAAAATTCAAAATGTATTTAAAATTTCCGCGGAATCTAGAAATCCAATATAATACAGTACTTTGTATTTAAAATACGATGAACCGAACACCCTAATTATATCATTCGTAGTTGCTGAGCTGAGGAAGTAAGGACCATTATTTCGGACACCCTGTACAACCTGTACAATTGATTATGTACCAAGTCGCTTCAGATATTCCGTTGACATTTAAGTGAGGACCCAAAGAAACAATTAAATTTTTGAATAGAAATACAGTGACGTAGTCGTAGACTTAGTTGGACTTTACAGTTTACAATTTCATTTATAAAATATACAGGGTGTCCAAATAGTGTGTAAAAGTAATATGTCTCGTTTATTATTTGTTTTGTTTTTTATTTTGTTTATTAAATTCGAAAGTGACTAAAATAAACAATATAAAATTATTTTCAAATATAAGGGGTGATTCATAAATGTGTGTTCCGTTTAAAAATACATACGTTTTTTTGAAAGTGAAAAGTTTGAGACCAAAATAAATATTACCTGAACGTGGGAAGTTTACAGAGACGGATTGAGAATAATTGTTTCAGATAATAGCATTGGTTACATGTAAATACAGAAAAACAAATAAAATATAAATAAAAAACGTTGGCACAAAAGGTAATGCGCATTTAAACAAAAATAAAATCATGAACTCTGCAGCTATAGAAAAACAATTTAAACAGTATTTTACGCTAGGGATAATATTAAAATCGCAATATTAATATTGATGTTAGTTCCAGAAATACACATAAAAGCTAAAAACAAAAAAGATCCGTTTAATTAAGTTTCACTTTACTTATTATTGTAATTAAATTTTTCTACACAAAATTAAACATTAAAATATATATTTTTATTTTTCTTGGATTATTGCGATATTTTCTCATAATTTGACAATTTTGTCTAGTAAAAAAGCGTATACCTCAAAAAAGATTGATAAAATTCAACGAGCAATAATTGAAGTAAATAATGGAAGTATAATATACAGGGTATTCCATTTGACATTTTCACGCAAATTAATATTTCTTATTTTGTCTCACTCGGCATAAACCATTCCAAGACATATATAGGATAAAAGACCTTATAAAATTGTACATCCGTACATATACATATATATATACCCGAAGACACTCAGTATATAACAACCCTATATTGAATATAAAATGGAGGATTTACTACTGTAATAATACACAGGGTGATTGATTAAAAAAATATTTGATTTGGTAAGTTTGGTTTCCCGCGTATTTATGAAGCGCCCTGTATATTTCAAAATAATTTTAATTTTTTTCCTTTATCCCCGTCCATAACTTTTCTATTTAACATTTTTTACATTTAACATATATTACTTTTTGTGTGAGGCTGTAAATTTATAAGAAGTAATTAATTATATTTAAATGGATGGAGCTGGTGGAAACTTTATTGTATCTGTGGATAGACCTCGTTGACCTCCATCTTCGATAAAAATTTCAACCTTCTCGAAGCAACGTAGATATCTTAAAAAAACAAAAATATAAATTAGTTTGAGAAATCACGATTTTGGATCGAGGTCGATATTAACCTATTCGGCTGAAATTTGGCACAAAGATGGACATCAATGAAGTCTATTCGTAGATACTATAATGTCCACCATACCTACATTTTCGGTTGGTATTTTCAATTAATTATTTTCATGTTTATCATGTTTTTCCTCAAAAATTTTTTAAATCATTTACGTTTCTACAAGAAGATTGAAATTTTTATCAAAGATGGAGGTCAACAGATACCATATAGTTCTCCCCAGCCCTCTCAATTTAAATATAATTAATTACTTGTTATAAATGTACAGCGTCGCAAAAAAACCGTTACCGACGGCAAACGGTATAACTTGTGTGAATCTCTTTGGTATCATTGAATAGAGGAAGGATTAGAGTATTTAACATATAAGTTTCAACTTCTCAAAATTATTAACAAATAATATATAAAACGTTCAATATCTATCATTGATTTTTAAACTATTTTTTCCATTTGAATTGAGATTTTAAGGTTATTTCTCAACTTATGTTGATCTGAGAAGGTTCATATTTTCATAGAAAATGCACATCAATGTGGTCTATCCGCACATACTATAATGTCCTCCTCAACCCTCCATTTTCGGTTAATATTTTCGATTTATTAGTTTCATTTTTGTCATGTTTTTTTCTCATAAATTTAAGGTTTTTAATTTCTTTAAATATCTATGTTTATCCGAAAAGATTGAAATTTCTATCGAATTTAGAGGTGGATTTGGAACATTTCGATGGGCACTTACACTAAAACTAACGGCGAATGCCGCATCACCTTTTTCTTCAGCACCTGATGGAAAACTGAAATTAAAAAGCCCACACGCACAACCGCCTTGTTTACTCGCAACGCTGAATAAACTTTTTCGAATATTGCCTTACCAATACAAATAAAAAAAATTCGACTATTAATAACGACCCTTTATTTATTCAATCATGTTAAGCGCTGGGCGTATAACTTTTATTTTCGCTTGCAGGAAAACGAAAAAACAAAAATCATTTCGGAGTCGTTTCTTCCTTCATCAAGCTCCCAACAGTTTTTTCACAGAGTAACCTGGGACGGAGTACACCGCAGCGCCGATAAAAAATATCACCAGGATCACCAAGGAGTATTTCACCAGGGTGCAGCCGTAAGTCTTGCAAACCACGTATTTGAGCGATTTCAGCGGGTTTTTGAACCACGCGAAAGAAGTGTTGGGCCTTCTGAAATAGGTAGCCATTTTTAGTATAGTCCGGCACACAAGATAAATGGTCATGTCTTGCCTGGGATCTCATAAACGGAAGATATTTTACCCTCAATAAACCAACAAAAAGCCTATTTAAATTTTAAGGACGTTCGGCTGTTAATATTATTATTAAAAAGTCCAGGTGGCTGTGAATCTTACGTATTGTGACAGTAAACGTCAAATTAAATTAATTCTGCTTGTGATACATTAAAATACTCTTCAAGGCACAACTTTATATTTTCGAATAAATGTCCATGTTTGAGAGAAAAAGACAAGTTTCCTACAGCTACCTCTGAAGATCCAGTTCAACACAGTAACTTGCTCATGAAGAGGCAATACTTAGAAGCCCGGATGAGAGTATGGAGAATTTTACACAATTTCAAGCTTCAAAAACTGCCCTTCAAGACTTGAATTTAGCAGCTGGATATTGAAAAAACAAACTGTTTCTCGGATAATATTATTTAGTGATGAAGCCTCATTCACACGAAACTTGAAAATCCTCGATAAACTCGGGAATTCCGTTTTCAAGATAAATTTTCGGTGAATATTTATATGGTTTATAACTTGAAGAACGTCTTTCACGTTTCATTGAAAATGATCTTTCAATATGACTGGATAATGTTCCTCTTAATGTAACAGGGTGGAGATTTTGAGCAACTAATTCAATATAGTAAAATATAAATTAAAAAATAACAAAAAAAATGGTCGGACACTCCCAAGCTATGTATATATAAAACATGTGTTTAAAAGACATGAGCCAATGTCTACTACAACATTCATGAAGTTTTAATTACCACAGACCAACAATTTATAAACGTTCAACAAGATTAAAAGAATTAATAAATGAAAATCTCGCAAGATTTAAACATTACAACAAAACCTGGATTAACAAATCTAAATTAGATAACAATTATAGTCCATTTATTTTTGGTTGAAAACCTTCGTTTAGTGGGCAACAGGTACAGAAGCAAGAAAATTTCCGCAGCTTTAAGGCTTCTCTTGGATGAGTCAATAAAACGCCTCCAGTCCTCAGAATTGTACTCGATACCAGGTTTTTCATTAGACCAGGAATATCGGTGCTATAAGTAAGTGAAACAAGGTAAACGTAAGTCCTCACTAAGTCATTAAGTTGTGATTGTGAAAATAACTAACTAACAGGTTTAGAAACACTTGTGGTATTGTCTTCTGAATGGGCTGAATCTGCAGGCAGGACATCTAGGCCGTGTGACACTTGGGGACTTGAGGTTCGAATAAATAATGTTTTTCAAATTCTTAGTATTATATCTACGAACGTTGCACATGCAGTCATTATGGTGATTTGTTGGCTCTCTTCATATCATATTCCCAAAGAGAGGTGGAGGTGGTATTATAAGAGAAAATTCTAAGAGTGGACCCACAAAAAAGTTATTGCTGCTTTTGTTGCTCAGAGCCCCGCAGAAGTCCACACTTATTGTTATTTATTTGGTTTTCGTATCGAGCTGACTGTACGGTCGTATTTAATCGTAAGACTTCTAAACGCTATTGATCTGTTGACAACGGAATGTATTAATTATTTATCATAAGTCTTCACTTCATTTACCAAAGGATATTTATGGGAGGGCAATGAATAAAGGTAATCAATTTTCTTCGTTAATCAGACGGAAAAGGAGTAGTTTGAACTATATTTGATAAAAAAAGCATAAACTGCTTCAAACTGTTTTACATGAAAATATATAATTCTTGAAATGAGATTGGATGTCACCATTTTCATTTTATCCACGAGTTACGTTTTTGAATCAGCTTACTCTAATTACATTAAGTGGCAGAAATATTTGTTGACAAATGGTGGAAGCGCTGTCAATTACGTCCTAGCTATTTAGTACTTCAATGTTCCATAGAGCAATATACCAACATTATCAAGGTGTTACAATAGATGTTATTTTTTGATTGCTTTTGAAGCCTATTTCAGTGACAAACCTTGGTGGATTTAAAGCCTGGGGCCCTTGCCTGCCTACACCAGCCGGTGAATCTTGAGACTCTTCTTTCGTGAGTATTTCAAGTTCAGCTTCTAATTTCCCCTGAAACCAAAAATTTCGGGACTCTGGAGAATGTAATTATTCATTCATTTTTATTTAATATATAAAATAAAAACAAAAACCTTTGGTACTAATGAGGTGTTTACAGCGGAGGGTCACGATTCCTACGAATTCCTTTGATTCGTACTGTTACACTAAAAGTTCTTTGCGGTTTGTAATCTTTAAAATAAAATATTTTTTTTCTACATTTGGGTCTAGAATGCCATTGGTGAAATAATAAATAAGTCAAAGAAAATAATGAAATAACACTCAGGCAGACTATAAAGTGGTAATATACAGGTGTAAAGAAGCATAAATTACATAAAAATTATAAAAATAAAAAAATAACTTTGCAAACTGCATAATCCTAATTTAATTCTGCTCCTTTCCTTAAATCCTTTTTTCTTTCAATCGACAAGAAAATGTATCTGATACTCTAGATCGACATGTTGTGAACCATTCCAAAACAAATTTTCCCACCAAAATGCTTAGAGATTAGAAAATTGATTTTAGAAAACAAACTGTTTACTGGGATTTTCACAAGTATTGTTTACAGGCAGACTGATATGTTACCTTAACAATGCCAGTTTTTAAATCTAATTGAACGTTAGGCAATACATTTGTATGTATCATTTCGTTAATCTCCATGACTTCCAATAAATTTAATTTTCTACTATTTGTGGCTGTATGTAAAATATCAAAATTGTCATTAAAAATGTTTAATAGACCATGTTAGAGCGTCTGCCTGAGAACTTTCTACCAAGTGAAACATAATTAATCAGTTCTTTTTTGTTTTGCAGTTTTCTTCTTGGTTTTTAAGTGTTTTTTCTCGAACTATCCTCTAATCTGCCCTTCAGAAACGGAGTTTAAAGTAACTCTGTCACATGGCGCGTCCAGCAACGGCATATTTTTTTCCGAATTAGTGGGAACTAGTACCGTGAGTTTTGTTCGTGCGTTTTCGCTGTGACCGGACAAGAAAGGCCACCATCCTTTCGTTCTCCTGACTTTGAAAAGGTTCATCCTTTTCGCGTCGGAGCCCATAATCGAATGGCCGCACTGCTTGGCCGACCTGGTGCCCCGAGGCATGTTGGACAGTTCCAAAGTCAGCGAGCCTGAAAAACCAAACACCTTTTCGTCGGATCTAACACCACGGCCACCGAAATGCCACCTAAAAAATCGTCTTTGGTGAACGTGTCGTTGTCCCAAACCGTCAAGTTTAATTTGCACGGAATTTTCACTTCGTAACCGTATCTGTCGAACATGGAGTCTTTTTTGAAAATCACCATTCGGTTTTCGCTAGCTATAAAATGGAACGGGAAGACGAATCTCCAATTGAAGTTGCCTTCGCCAGTGAGAGATCGGTAATGGACGTCCGTGTATTGACTATTTTCGGCGTCGTCTAGCCAACTAGGACGTGTGAAAGCATATTTAACCGAAATATAAAATTATAAAAATTGGGTCCTACCACTTCAAAGAAAAAAAAACATCTTTTAACTATTCGAATAATACGAGCTGTTTCCTCAATAAACTCTGGTCGAACAACATCCATAAGTATATTTGGTATATTTGACATTTGTATCTATTTCTTCGCCGTGTCTCAATTAATATTAAAAAAAAAGTGTACAAAAAAAAGTAACTTTGTATAAGGTTGCCTGGTCAAAAATGTTACAGATTTTGAAATATTTGCTATAAAACCTATTTTCATTGTTAAAAAGATGGTGGAGAACCATGAAGAATATAAAACAACAGAGCACCACCGAAATGCAGATGCAGATAGGCAGTGAAGTTATTAACTCAAAAGCTCAATTTAAGTTAAATTATTTAAATATTTTAAGAAATTTTTATCTGAACCTTGCATTAGTTCATTTTTAAATTTATTTTCTATATTATCACTGTTTGCTCCCTAATTTGTTCTTTTTTTTTCAATGAGAATAGCAATGGCATTAAAAATTATTAAGTTAGGTAACACAAATTTCATGGACAACTAATATTAAAATAATAAGTGAGCATAACAAAATGCTGTGAAATTATGTGTGTGTTTCTATTTCAAGAAAAAAATCTACTTTTAGCTATTCAAATAATTTAGGCTATTTATATACTGGTTAGCTTGGGTTAGTTATTTAAGCATGTTTCAATTCCTCACCAAATTCTAGATATATTTCAAAATATAATATTCTGCGTCAATAATATCAACAAATGTTTGGCTCAATAAATATAAATTTTATACAAAGAATTAAAAAAAAAGTAGCTTTGTATAAGATTGACCAGTTGAAAATGTGTATTTTAGAATATTAACAATAAAATGCATTTTCATTGCTAATATGATGGCGGAAAATTTATTTTTTTAAAAGCTATTTAATTTTTTATTTTATTTAGTTATTTTTTTAATTTGTTTTCTTTATTATTACTGTTTTCTATATAATTTGTTGTCTTTCTTAGAAAAAGGTTGTCCTCATTTAAAGGAGGATATTTTTTTTTATTAGAATAACAATAGCATTGCTTTCCAAACTCGTAGAACTATCTTCATAACCAACTAATAGCAAAATAGTTATAAAAATTGGATGTTTCTACTTTTAGCGATTCAAATATTATATTTATATTTTGGTTAGTTATTAAGGCATGTTTCAATTCCTCACCAAATTCTAGATATATTTTAAAATATAATATTCTAGTCTAATAATATCCATGTCTTAGTGGTTCTGATAATTTTTCTGGCTAGAAATTATTTCAGTGGAGTGAGTTGACATAAAAAAATGATATAAAGCATTTTAAAGAAAGTAACTTTGTGTAAGACTGTCTGATTGAAAATGGTGTAGATTTTGAAATATTAGAAGTAAAACGTATTTATTGCAAAAATGACGGAAAAAATTATCGCGTGACATTTTTTTTTATAAATTATGTTCGGCAAGTCAAGAAGTATTTAAATTAACTAAATAATTTTTTATGTCGATCATAAAATTAAATTTGTTTTATTTACGGTCACTGTTTTCTCTACAATTTATTGTTGTCCTTATTTAAAAGAGCTCATTTTTTTCTAATTAGAATAACAATGACAAAAAAAGTATTAGGTTGGGTAACACAAAACTGTCCAAAAAAACAACTTTTCACGATATATACCAGAGTCGAAGAAATACCTAGATCTATTTAAAAATTAAAATATTTCTAAAATGGTAATACTCGAATTTTGATGGAGAAACTTTAATTGCGTATTCAAAACACTAAATTAAGTAAAAAAATTCATATAAACTTATGTCCAGAAACGATTTGTTTTAGATGGTGTTGAAACGTTTCGAACAAAAAATGCTTTTTTGCTATTTCCTAGTCAGTTGCTTTCTCCTTCCATTTGCTGATCGTCATTCATTTTTGTTTCTGCCATCATCCATCTTTTTTCATAGGTTTAAGAATTTCATCTCTATACATTCTCTGGATGAGTCCCATCTATTTTAATTGTTGCGCTTTTAATACTCTTATTATATCTAGTCCGTCAGACTGCTAATCTTGTTCTTGACTTTCTAGTAAACACCGTTTTCAGGTTAGTATATTGTTCTGCTTCTTCGAATCTGTAGGTTTTATTTCTGTTCTGCTCTTCTTTGATGCTTAAAGCAACTGATGTTGCTTTATCCTCCAATCTTTTTTTACTTTCTTTGAGTCCTTGTTCACTTATTGTGAGCAGTACTAAGTAAAATCTAGGCATTGGTGCATTTTAATTCGCTTTTATTTATATGCCAGTTAAATCCTACTTTATCTTTCATTAACCTTTATACAGAAAAAAAAGAGTACTTGTGCTTGCTCGGAGTTGTTATAAATGTTAGTTATCCTAGAACCTGATAATTTGAGAAAAATCTTTGACTAACGGAAACCACAAGCACCATATTCAATATGTTCCTAGAGCTGCTTCGGTATTACCCCTGGACATAAATATCCGATTTTTTCTCGCCGGTTAGGAATTCGTCGTCATCCAAGATGACATCTTCTACGTTCCAGATGATGACCCTCAGTTCGTAAGCCACTGGTTTCCTGGGCGATATGTTCACCTTCGACGGGGGCGGGTAATCCCTTCGAGGGAAAATGTCGATCCAAAGCTGAAGCTTGCCCTGCAAGACGAGCTCTCAAACCTGTTTCGATACCCTGCTGGTATTACCTGTTCGATGCCGGGTTTGTTAGGTGTGAATAAAGACCTGGTTTCGACGTGTTCCGGCACCAATTTGAAGCCGACCAAGGGTACGTCTTGCCAATGCCTCAGCGCATCCAGAGCTAGGATTTCTCTGCCAATTTCTGAATCTTCAATACCTTTGAGCCAAAAATAATAGTAAAAATTTGAACTAGTTGGAAAAGGAAAAGATAGAAAATATTTGTTTTTTGAAAATTTCTATTTTTTTTTGTCTTGAATTAAAATCAATTTACAGATAACAAGTTAATATTTTGACAACAAGGCGACTTTGAGTCGATTAAAGGTTCAAAAAAGAATTTCAACAACGATCGAGGTTCTTAATCCGCCATTTCCAGGCATCGAAGGTTGGCCATTCAATGGCCAATATAATTTTGGACATTGCTCCTCTAAAAATATCAATTAATGAGCAACAATTCCACGCTTTGGTCCAAGCGTTCAACTTTCGCCACCATGGAAAATATATATACAGGGTTAGTCAAAAGTCAATATCTCAGGAATTATTAGACATACATTTATGAAATTTAATATAGTTTCTAATAATGCTCAATCGAATGGTGGCGTTGCCACCTTTAAGTTTTTCCCTTAACTATTAAACTTACTTATTTTAAATAGACAGGGTTCTGTCGTTGTTCTAGGAATGACAAAATTAGGAATTCAATAATAATTTAATCAATAAACTAGGATTTAATTTATACACGACAAATGATTGCCACGATTTGAGAAACAATTGAATTAAGTGACCGACTGGTTCACCAGATTTAAATCCCCTAGATCTTTTTCTTTGGGATCGCCTCAGTACTAGTGTTGGTTGAATTTGTGTATAGAATTTTAAAAGATATTCAAAAATAGGCGTCGCTTTTTGACTAACCCTGTATAACACCTCGTCATTCTCATACTCATGCTAAGATCTTGTAAAGAGCTGTTTAAGATTTGTAAACGACCTTTTGGTTTGCTCAGTTCTTGCCATAGTTTTCGTTCACGAATAAAGGCGACTATTTAATATAATATATGTGGTAGTAACTTGTCTGCATTATCTGCTAAGACAACAGTAAAATTAGAAAGTTAAAGAAGAGTACAAGAATTAATAAATTAATATGCAGTAATATAAAAATATTTTTGTTGTATTATGGACTATTGACACAAAGATTCAAAATAGTGTTTCAAAGTAATATATCTCATTTATTTTTAGAAAAAATACAAAATTATATATAATATCAAAAGAGAAAATTTAAAATTATTTTTAAACATCCCGGGGGAATTAAATTTTTGGCAAACTTATATATATTTTAAATAGAAGTAGTACAGTCATTTATCTTATGCTTTTCTTGAAGTTAGTTTGAATCATTTATACAGGGTGAGTCAAAACGAAAAATATAATTTTTTGTCGAAAAATCAAAGGCAATATACATTAATTATACTTTTTGATTTGATGATTTGATCTAGAAAAACTGCCTTTCTTACAGCTCAAAATATTATTGAACTATAAAAAATGTTATCAGATCGCGCACTTTGTTAGTTGGCCATGCAAATATAAGTATAATTGGAAATAACATTGTAGGGCCTCATTTTTTTGGGCTTTTGCATATTATACCAGTCAAGTTACGAACAACTTATTTCGATAAGATGGCCGCTTAGACTTCCTGATCTAACAAAGATGGACTATTTTCTGTGGGGATTTGTTAATGGCCAGGTATATATAAAACTGTCCCCAACAATACAAAAAGGACGACAACAGAGAACATGAAACAGAGATTAAAAGAAGCCTTTCAAAGTGTTACGTCATGAAATGATAGCAAATACAGCCCAATCCTTTAAAGAATGTATATTGAAGTCGGCGGGAGACATAAATAAATTAACATTTCTTTTTTGCCTTGAAGTTTTGTTTGTGATATTTTCGCAAGGTTAGAAAATTCTGTTCGGAAAAATATGTATGCCTCAAGAAATACTCCCTTTAAGTATAGGAAATCCTTAATACCATTGCAATAGGATTAATAGTAGGAATTAATGGAAGTATAATATACAGCGTAATTTTTTTTCCGAAAATTAATATTTTTCTACTCTTGGCATAATAAAATACATAAAAAAAATGACCATAAATCCGAGGACACTCGGTATAGGCCATAACAACCCTATATTTGTTAGCTTCATATATGACTTTTTTTTACATTTTCCTCTAATAAACCCAAATATATTACTTTGACAGACTCACCTAAAAAATTTGTTGGGATAAAATTCACGCTACCCACGCGAACAGAATTCCGTTGGTATTCGGGAGTTTCCAGGCCCCATCTTCTGCAGAGCGCTTGCAGAATCTCGGTGGGTTTCTCTTGGTCTCTCCAGGCACAATATCCGCGCCTGCAGGCGTAGCGTAAAAGCAATCAATCAAAATTTGACGTTACGACCAAGAGAGGGCTCTAGGATTTTTTTTTCAATTATAATTTACTAATAAGTAAGACGTATTTTTCGGAATAGTCGGCCCATATAAACTGCTCGATGCAGGTAACAATGTAGACTCCTGCCAGAGAGATATTTATTTATTTACAATGCTATTGTAATATATAATAATGTTTTAACACTCAGTAACAACATTTTCATCATTTTTGTATCTCGTAGCATTAGTTTTGACCTACCTTGTATAGTATATAGAGATTAAAAAATGATGGACAGTACCTCCATAAGCTACTTTCAAAATTTTAAAATTACAGTGTCGTAGTAATAAAAATTAAATTGAAGCTATGATTTGGTCGTAAAATAAAGAATAATTTATTTTAAAAAAACACTAAAGAACGTATCTACTCTTTAAATGTAATAATGTCCATGGTGTCCCATTTATAATTTCAATGTTGATGCTACTTTTTCGAAGGAGCGCCAACATTGCAGCGCTAAAAATATGAAATTATGAAAAAATGAATACAAATATAAAATGACGCATTTAAATTTTATTGTTTAAGTTTTATGTGTTGAAAGTAAAATCGAATTTGAAAGATACTTGATATATTTGCCAATACTAAAGCATTTTTTTCAAAAAATTCGTTCATTCAATCCGTATAAATGCATTTTTTTTCAAATCCATATCAATTTCAAGTGTCAATTTAAGCTTGCGTGAAGTTCGTACTTCTAGTGAAGGGTTTGTTTATGTTGGATATAATATATGTAAGAAGAATAATTAAAGCCAGACTGTCTCACTCATGGTAAGCTTCGGATATGGCGCAGGACGCTCTGAACTTTGTGTAGTATCGGGCCTCCAAGTCGATTTTGGTCTCGCCTATAAGTTCGTCGTATTTGCCTACGTCGCGGTCCCAAACGGAAATCGTCAGGGTGTGGTCCAACGGAAAGACAGCTTGTAGCTCGAAAGTCCTTCGAAATACAACCGATCAGTTGAAATAAAGGTAGAGGTTTTATAGGATGATGATTTGTTCAAATAAGCACGTTAAAGTGAACCTTCAAAGTAATAATAATTTATAGAATTTATAAAAATCTGAAAAAACAACACGAAAACCACACTTCATGTAGGAGTAGTTGATGATGGGAATATCTGTATAATCTATAGTGAACATATTTTTGCGACACAGGAAAAATAGAAAAAGTGCTTGACCATAAGTACAAATTTTTTTTGTAGTATTTGTATGTATACAGCGTGTTCCGTCGTGCCAGAAGAATAATCAACTTTATTTTTTTAAATGAAAAATATGTCCGTGAGTATTATTATTTCTTATATAACATTGAACACTGTAAAAAGCCAATTTTTCTTTCAAAAAAAGTTACGGACAACTAAATGTCAAATAAAAGCTGTATTTTCGTCGAAGGAACAATTTTACTAGTTTTCTTTTTCATGGGTATCTTGTAAAAATAAGTAATAAATAATAATAATAAAAATAAATAAGTTTTCTTAATTACAAAAAATATTTTTTATGGTAATTTGTGACCGCCCTGTATAATACATTTTCGTCACAGATAGGTAAAAGCAATAAATATTAACCATTCCATGGATCCATAACAAAAATTCCCAATTTTAGTTTTCAAGTATAAGAAACAATTTTTTTCAAATACCTTTTCTCGCAAAAACGGAAAAGTTTATTTTTCTCAAAAACTACTCAAAATTCGTATTCGAAATGGAGCGAACAACGAAAATTTTTAAAAATATAAATATGGTTACTCTCTTAGCAAAACGAAACATCCCGCATACATAAAAATAATACTAAAAAAATGTCAATGTCACTCAAAGAATTGTCGACAGCCTTTGGTTCAGTAACATGTTGAAGTGCCTTATTTATTAATGAATGAGGATGTTCTGTATTGAAGTCGGAGTTGTTGATTGCCACACAACGCGTTGGTTGATTCAGCATTAGAAAATGTATTCTTCCGCTTTATGGATTACCCTAAGGCGTTTGATAGGTATTAGACAATAAAGCTGAACGAGTAATTTCACAATATTGGGGGCAAATAACATATACTTTGAAGGCATTTGAAAATCAAGATGCAGTAACACTTGTGAATAATATTGGCAACGTTGATGATAACATTATTATTGCCAGCAGCTATTGAATAGGGTGAGAAGTCAACATCGAATATGGCTTAGAGGGCTTAAAGTTAAACTTCAGATAGACATTTCATGATATATCAACGACGCATAGAAAGGTTATTTCGATGCTTCATTGAAAAAGTCAGAGCGATATTTACTAAGATGGTATGTCTTTCCTGTTCTCATTTATGGTATGGAATCTTGGACCTTAACGGAAGCAGCGGTCCTGCAGCAGGATATTCGAAAATCTTGGATAGACAATGAAGAAGTGCTTCGTAGAATGCAAAAACAGACGGAAATAACTAATTCTAATGAAAACGGCGATCCAGCAAAAGAAGAATTTCTTGGTTAAAGAACCCTAGACCCTGGTTCGCTTCAACAATAACAGGAGTCAATCGAGCTACGACGAGCAAAAGCTAAAATGACCGTACTGGAAGAAGAAGAAGCTGGTACAAACTTTTGGATAATGCGAATTTAAGCCATAGCTTAAAAGTAGCATAACTGAATGAGATAAATAACATCCAGTTCTACGCCAAGGACCCTTTGAACTTAGAAACGGTTTCAGAACGTTAGCGAGAAGAAGGAAAAGCTTTAACTTAAGCACCTAAAATTTAGGATGAAGTACACTAAACGTTATTCAAGCTTTCAAAGTTACCTTCCGAAAACCGGATCCAGTTGGCCAGCCATACAATGTTCGCGGTCGTCGATTGTTTTGTTTCCTACCGTCAAATACAGATAAGGATCGGATTTTCCGCTAAGGTCTTTTGGTCGCAAACCAATAGCGCGAACGCAATAAACTCTTAACAGGAAAGGCAACGGGGTATTCTCTGGGAAATCTTTCAGTACTCCATCTTTGACGGAAGTACCTCTCGGGCATACGTAGTCGTTTTCGTCACCAGCAGGGGGCGGCCAGCGATAGATCTTTATTGCTCTGTCAAGTAAAATTAATTCACCCTTTTTTGAGTATTGGAAAATATGAGATTGTTTGATAGAAGTTGAAAAATTTGATGCGAAAAATCTCACCTCACCAATGCAAAGTCAGTATTGAATTTTTCACCAAAATTAATTTTGCAAGACTGCGATAAGATGTTTGAAAATGTAGTGATGTATGTATTTATTAATATCCTATGGGTTATGAGTTTTTCTAACCAATTTTTCTTTGTCTAAGTCTTTCTAGATCACCACACTAAGCTGAAACATGGGTACCGGAATCAAAACTGTGTGTTATATGAAAATATCAAATGACATTTGAAGATTTCACCACCGTTCTTTGACGAATGGAGGCAGTTCTCAACACTAAACCTCTCTCTCTCTCTCTCTTCCTCCCTCCCTCCCCCGCCCCACTCTCTTTCTCACTCCCCCTCTCTCTTTCCATCCCTCACCCGCTCTCTCTCCCTTCCTCTCTCTCCCTCTCCCAAAACCAAAATATTTAAAAATTGTTATTTTTATATACCCTTACAGTTCTAGGAATAGCTGTTTTAATTTTTACATATTTCATGTGAGTTCATCAAGTCAAAGTACTTACTGCATCTTGCTGATTGTGGCAAAAATGCTTTAAAATCAACAGGATCTTTGTTAATTTTCCAAAGAAATTTTCACGGGCAACTATAGTAATATTTACGTCAGTTGTTAACACCTCAAACTTGCTGACGTTTCCCCAATCATCCTCTTGTCTTCTGCAGAGCTTAACTCAAACTGGGTCGTAATCTACTCTGTACCGGGTTAAATATTGTTTGAGATGGATGCAGCAAAATAAGGGACAATTTTAGAGATTTCTATGAATTTTTTTTTAAGGGTCTTTGATGTACTTTTGACATAATTCCTTCTGACCTCAGCTGCTGACCTGCGCTCTTTGCCTATCAATGATTTTTCATTATCTGGAAACCACCTCTCGTGATAGTTGTGCTTGTCCTTTCGTTTTTCTCTTTTCTTTTCGTAATTTAAGTTCCTTTTCCATTTTCCTTATTCCCTTTGCGAAGGTGAATGCTTCATTGCAGGGGAGGTATATTATGAAAATCCCAACAGTTATGCAGTTACTTTAAAATACCTTCATTTTATTTTATTTGTAGATTATGATTTATGTATTTAGAGTGATAATAACATTCAATACTCGGACTTTCTATGTACTGGTCTAGAAAATCAATGAGCTAGATTGCTTAGAAACTTCATAAACCTCTCTCAGAGTAACTTGGTTTGAAATAGAAAAAAATAAATTTTGGACTTGGTCATAAGGCAATTATCAGACATTATATGGTTAGTTCAGCAAGATGATCATTAACCTGCTATTCATTCATCACTTCAATTTCCTCATGCCATACATATGAAACACGACTTTCTTATGTCGCTGGATAATAATTTTAATTTTAAAAAAGCTAACTTCCTGCTAAGTATGTAAGTAATGTTCCTAAACTTAGTCATTTCTTTCTCAAGAATAGGATCGTGAGCCTGCCTGCTCTTTGTCCCCCGTTATAAAAAGTTAGATAATAAAAAGTGTCCTCTCTGATTTTATCGCAAAAGAGTCTGAAGTACGGCTAGTCCTGCAGTATGACAAAATTTTAAATGTCTTAGGTCAAAGCTAAAATCTGCAATTAGTGACTCTAATAAAAACTATCAACCGAACATTAAATATGCAAATAAAAAAGATCCTAAAAATAGAAATCTCAGTAATTCATACCACATTGAAAATATAAACATTAAGGACTTTGTAATACTTTTTAATCTACTCTTTAATAAAGCCATTACTGGTATATAGAAAATGACTAAAATTGTTTCTGTACACAAAACAGACTGTAAACCATAATGGGTCATGACCAAATATCCCATGTTGTTAAAAACCAGATAGTCCCTCAAGAATGTTGCATTTTAAAGGGAGACCGACCATTAGCAATTTTAGTGCTGTATCTCAGTATATTTCTGAGACTATCGATGAAGGCTTTCAAGTGGACTTCGTATATTTTGATTTTTCACCAGCGTTCGATCGCTTGGATCGCAAGATTCTAATCCACAAGCTTCGTACTTTTGGATTTTTTGAATAGCTGGTGAACTTGTTTTCTTCATACTTGTCCCACCGCGTAGACGTCTATTTCTATGGTCTCACCTTCAATGAATACGCTACTTCCTAAGGCGTTCCTCAAGGCTAAATAATAAATTAGTAAAACCAAGATGATTCGCACCGAACCATATCGGACAGAAAAGCACAGCCGAAAAGACGTTTAAAATTAAAGCGAAATGGAGTGAGCTGAGTTCGCGGTACAAACCCTTTGAAGAGAGCCGTTGTATTTTCCTCGTTTAGAAATTCCATGCCAGTTCGTCGCCCTTTCGCTATTCGAAATGTAGTCAGCATATCCGAAAAGCCTTGGAATTCCGGCTGGAGTTCAAGCTCGTTTTTGTATACCTGATAACCACGTCGGAGGTTTTATATTTTCAGATATCAATGCTAAAAACAATACCTTTAGTGTGTTAATCCGGGATGTTGATGTTGATAAACTGGCGCCGTCCTAAAAGTGACACTTCTACAATTATTTTGTAATCTTCGAACACAATATTTTGCATATACTATTTGCACATGCCGGCAACACTGTTAGGATATAGATTCCGTTTAGTCGACAATTTTATATTTAAAAAATAATTTTAAGACTATTCGGTACACTTATGAACATAATTTACAGATGATGCGCAATGTGTATTGGTAAGCCTGTTTGTTTGCTGTGTAATGAACCCATTTCAAGGACGAACTGATCAACTAAACACCAGCAAATGTTTCATAAACAAAGAACATAATCAGAATTTATCAAGGAGTGTATGGTAAAAGTTTGCAGTGTGTTGTGTGCTGAAGAAAAATGGATTTGGAAAAATTGGTGTCCTACGTGTAAAACAGACTTTTTTGCGCAGCTTTGAAAATTCGCAATAGCATTGATTTTTGGGTTTGGCAGATATTGTGAAATTATTCCAAACATCAATGGATAGTTTCCGAAATTCAAGTAGTATTCGTAGTTTTTAATAATCTCTAATTTTAAGATTTAATTATAATGTTGCACCTATTATTTGCATTTGGTTTTGTTATTTGAACAAATTTTATTATAATAACATTGTCGTTATATTTCATCTCTAATTTTACTTAAAATATTACTTATACAACATTTTTAGAAGCTTTTCCAGCTGAAGCAATAGCAATCTTCGTATTACCAAAAAGTTAATAAATAAAATAAATAAAATAAAAATTTCTTAATTTTATATTTAAGAAATATTTTCAGGACTCTTCTGTAATCGTATGAGTAGACCACAATAAATAGCAGGAAAGATAACCACTCTGTCATAATGATGACAGCAGCAAATGTCATAAGTGGTGTCATTGCTAACGTGATGGTTATCTTTCTTGAGTATTATTATTTTGTTTCTTTCAAATTATTTTTTATTTTTAAAAGTTGTCATTTTGGAAGCATTTTTTGTTTCCTTGTTATTTTATTTCGTAGATTGTTTATTCTTTTAAAATAAAAACCAATGTAATGAGGCCGATATGCACAAAGCTTTGGAAGCTGTTCGCAGCGCAACTAACCAAAAAGTTAATATAAACGATTTAACTGTGTTTATGCTGAAATGAAACAAGGTAAATCATCTTACCAGCGGTTCTGCTACTAAAATATTTAAATAAAAATATCTTCATTTTATATTTAAAAAATGTTTTTAATATTTTTAAGGATGATGTGTAATTAGAATTATTTTTATTTTTAAAAGTTGCAAATGACAATGAAACTGGCAAAATGATATATCAGCATGGCGGGTAACATCACTTACTATATTATTTGGCCCTCTTTTCCTACTTTTTTTATTTTGCAGGTGGTTTATTATTACAAAATGAAAATTAATTGTGACAGCTGGAACAAGGCAGATGTGGATGAAGCTCTAGAAGCTGTTTGCAGTGGATTTGCTGAGTAAATAGCAATCTGCAGCTAACCAAAAAGTTTATGTAAAGGATTTAACTGTATTTATGTTGAAATGAAACAAAGTAAATCATCTTACCCTCTGATCTACTAAAATATTAAAGTAAAAATATCGTAATTTTGATATTTCCCTAGTTCATTTAAAAAAATTGCAAATGACAATAACTGTGTACTGAGATTTCAGTTATGCTGAAATGAAACTAAATATGTTATCTTAACCAATGTACCAAACTAAAATATTTTAACTGTATTTAAGTAAGAAGTAATATTAATTTCTTTTCCCGCACTAAGATATTGGAATTTAAAAGATGTGTTTTATGTGCGAAATGCGGTTACTTTTCCTACCTCCAGTGAGGCATAAAATTTCGTCCACCAGTCGAAATCTTCGTCAAATTCATCATCTACGTCACTGGGCAACGACGAATAAGTACCGTCGCTCCGATAAGTGCTTCTGCGCACATTATCGCCGATTTTCAATTTCCGCCTGCACAGATAGCGTATTATACTATGAAATTTTTCGCGTAGTTTACTCCCGGATTGAGGTTGTTCTTCGGGCAAAGTTAAATTCTCGTCCCAACTTTTACAAGTGACGAGGGTTTCGGAACCTACAAGTCGTTCAAAATATTGAAAAAAAATACGCAGAATAACGCAGGCAATTTTGAGTTCGTTGTTATACCAAGTTTAGGAGGGGATGAATAAATGTGATGTTCTTTTGTTCGCCCTGCACGTTGGCGGATAGATGTATAGTGAAAATCACAAAAGAAGACAATTACGCCACTCCATAAGGCTGCGAGGGTATGTTATGGCAGGGGTTAGTAAGTTAGGTTAGGCTAAGGTTAATATTTATTGTAATTATTTGTAATATAATTCGCTATTTTATTGCATTATGTACTAAATAAGGGCTAAAGGTAAAGTTTACCTAGTCACATGAGTTATATTTTGCAACTCATAACTCTAAAGCATTAAAATAATTTAATGAATTTAAATTTCTTTTAGGCCAAAAAATTTTTATTATTATTATTATCCAATATTTGTAAGTTATTTTTTGCAGATTACTAGTAATCATGGAATATTTTTGGACATTTCTAGTTAATATAAGTCAGCTAATCTCGGGATTAGTTATAATCGGATATTTTAATAACACAACAATAAAAAGTAATATGCTAAAAATATGTAAGAATTTTGACACGAATGGCAATTTATTTAAAAAAAAATATTTTAACTGACTCACAAAGCAAATGTATATAAATACAAATAAATTATTTAAAAAGCAAACGATATTATGTGACAAATTACCTTTAATTAGTACGTACCCCATAAACTAATTAAGTTTACTTTGAAATTATTATTATGGGCTCTGTTACATTAAAAATAGGGTTTTTATACCACTGTACATAATTTGATTGGTATGTTCCCCACAGTTATTCCAAATCTTGGGTGTAACTTGCATAGCTAAAACATTTTCATCATTATAAGGTCCCTTCCGATATCATTATATTCTTTAGCAGGCTACCGTATTAACTAAATAGCATCGAATTCACACTGGTATCGAGTGGTACGAAGTATTTAATGAACATGGCTTCTGATGATGTCTAATAATTCTAATTTTGTTAATGATGGCTGTAATTCGAGTTTGCTTTTAACCAACCAGCAGCTGGTTAGTTATATAATCCTCTTGGATAGTGATTAAAGGTCTTCCATTATCTTTTTCTTGTTGAAAATAATTTAGCAAAGATACCTGCGATTGCGAGTTAAGCAAAAACGATGTTTAACTGAAAATTAAAAATAACAGGCAGTTTAAAACCAGGCTTTTACAAGCTTATTTTTAAGACGCAACATAGGGTTTTGCGTGGTAATTATTCAAACTGTTGAGCACATTTGTACTGTATCAATCCTGCTATGAATCTCAAAATACTAACGAACACATTAAAATACAAATGTTGTCAAAAAATGTGGCATAAAGACAAGTTGATATTGTAAAAATAAAATGCCTTTTAAAATATTGTTGAATTCTTAATTTTTTTTAAGGATTTACTGCTTAAAATGTCTTTAAATATTTGAGAAGTAAGACACTGTTGCGCGTATTTACTTGTTTCGTATCTTCCCAAATTATTATTATTATTTACTAGAAAATAATATACTGACTAAATTGTCCTCTGTTGTGATTTACAGTACATAGAACTTGACTTTTGAATAGATGTAACAGTAAAAAGATGTAAGCACACGGTCAGACTGCTGAAAGAAATTAGTTTAATAAAATATTACTTAAATTATATTAATATTTTAAAACCCTGACTATCTAAAATTGAAACTAAAATTGTTAAATAACGTTATAATTTATAAAGCATTTAAGTTAATATAAGTAGGTTAAGGTTATTTTTAGAGCCACTTTAACAAAGACACATATGGTAAATGACATGCTGCCAACTCCATACATTCTTGGATATTTTAATATACTAGATAAGGTACGGGAACTAGAAGCAATTTCAATTCAAATTGAATTGCATTGATGCATTGATATTAAACCTTATGTTGCTGGCAGTTCTAGATTACACTGAAAAATATCCTCTTTCAAGGAAAGGCATAAACATATTTAGTTTTGGTTTAGGCCTATGGCCAATATTTCTGGATGAGCCAGAATGTAGTACAAAGTTCGTTGTTTGAAAACATTTTTCAGGCTTACTTCCAAAGAATATGGTTCCACTGGCAGATGCTTGCGTAATCTTCAAACGTTGCTCTCGTTCATCCCTGGTGAGAGGAGAGAACAAAAACTGGAAAGTGTCGCAGATCGTAACTCCCGCGTATACGTATATTCCGAATTTCCTGCTGTCGAACAGTTTCAGTTGAAAGGATTCGGAATATTGTCTTTGTTCCGCCATGGTCTAGAATTTATTCTTTTTAATAGACCATGGAATCCAAAATTTATCGTCTTATATACCACAGACAAACTTCGCGCATAGTTCGGGAAATTGGAATTCCTCTTCGCGTTTTCGATGAAGTCAGAATGTGCGTAAGTGTTCGCGCAAAAGAAGGTCACCCTCGGTCTATTTACCCTCATCAAGTTAACCTTCTTCAAGTTCCTCAGACCCCAAAAAATTATTTCGATTTTGTAGGGTACCGCGATCGGTTTTATTTCAACTGGTATAGGTACGATCTGATCATCGGCGCCATCTTTGACTGCCGTTCTTATCTGTACAGGGTTATGCATTATATTTTGACACCACCTACAGGGTTAATTTTGATAGATAGTGTAAATACAAAAGTTTGAAGATATTTGCTATCTTCTGAAATTATCAGCTTAAATAGTAGTTCGTCTTATATAACATTTCTTTATGTAGTAATTGTAATGTAATTAAAATATTGGAAGAATGTCAAGTATTATTATTAATAAAAAGAAGAGTTGCAAAAGGCATCCAAAATAAAATTTAAAAATAGAGTGGTCCTGTATACTTTAAAATCTTTTCAATTTTTTATTTACCATGATAACTTTTGAAAGCAATATGATAATGTACTTTACTCTACAGCTGACTCACGCACCGAATGCCTGTTAAATTAGCTTTACCTCGATGAGATCGAAAGCCGCCAAAATGGTTGCGAAACATTGGTCGTTATGCAGCAAACGGTACCATTTCAACGTAGTCTGGGGTTGGTCGTCATTCCCGTCCAGAAACTTTACCGTCGGTTTCACGATAGTGAAGCCGATGAAATCCCTATGGTGCTGAAACGGAGCTTGAGGGTGTTGAATTCGATGGTTCAGATGGGAGGTACCATTCGATCTACGTCGTACATGCGTACTAGCAGCGTCGGAGGATTGGCCGTGATAAAAGAACGCGAGCCATAACTACAAATGTTCTGGAGAGCGATGGTTTGGTCCCAAACTGGAGCAAGTTCTTGCCTTTTGACCTGTGATGCGACTGGGATAAGCCAAAACGGCGAGCGAGACGTCTGGTATTGTTACCATTGTTTCTTTAACCAGATGAGCGATGGTGAGTTCGACATAAGCGTCGACTAAACCACTTAAATCGAATCCAGGTTGGATTTTGCCCTCCGATATGTACGCGTAAGCTGCAAAGGACTACATACAAAAGCAAACACCATCAACGATTGTGTTTTCGGTGCAACTCACGCGAATTTCCTGAGCGACTAAGTGATCGTCGTCCATTTTAAAACCATCGGGTAGCGATTCGAAGCAGTGTTGCTCTTGCCGCCATAATCCCAGCCAAATCATATATTCCATCTTACAAATGATGTCCTGTCTGCCCTTTAACTAGAAGCCGAGCATTTAGGTCGGGTCGAGCACCATGGCGAACGATAAATCCTACCGAATAGACTGCCGTTTCCACTTTTCCGCAGGATTCGCCTTTTTCTTCGGCTATTTTCGAGTACACTAATCGTCTCACGGGTATCCTAAGGTGAGCCACTTTCTTGCCGTTGCAACAGAAGTACAAGAACACGTCCGGCCAGCATGACTGGGCCTGTTTTGCGAGAATCAGAAAAGCAACGAATTTTACATAATTTTCAAAAAAATGTTGACCTTCAACATGGAAAACACTGTCGCTAACTACTTGATCCGACCCCTAAACTGTTCTGGCAGATTAAGAGGTGGAACTGTGTATTTAAGAAGGTAACAGGAACTACTACAAAGTGGTGTTTTTTGATTAAGCAGTTTAATAATTTGTCAACCAGAATTGTTCCGTCATTTTCTTTAATACTTCAAACATCAGCAGTGGGATTGGGAACATTCTTCTTTCTTGTTTTCGATGGTAATTGCGTTCACACGATCTTTTAGAGTTTCCCATAAAAATGCATCCATCGTGGTCAGGTCAGGACTGTTGGGTGGTCATTAAATTGTTCCATCTTTTACAATTGTTTAATTAAATTTTTGATTCAAATAGTGTTTAGCAAATATTACACAATGAGTCTTGTTGAAAGATCAAAGTTGTTCGAATGAGAGCTCATCTATATAGTTTTCTGATTAGTTGCGCAAAAAAAATTAAATAATCATTAACGTTTAAACGAAAGTTGAAGACATTGCTTATTATCCTGTTGTTTAAAATGACACAAAACACATTTATAGTGGTTGAAACTAAAATTCCTTGTAGCTGTTTTGTTGATTCAACATACCACTGGTTTTTTGTCTGAAATGTACATTAGCCCAAGCGTGGCCAAAATTGATTGTTTTTCTCTTTCAGAATAAGGCATTGCACAATAAAAAGAAAGGATTTGATTAAGCGCATATTATACAGGGTGTTCCATTACTATTCCTTACTATTCATTGAGAAACTTTTTATTTGACGAGGGAATTATAATGATCAGAGTACTACTTAGGGTCAGATAACCAACGGATGAATATCCGGATCAACAATAACGCAGAATATATAATATTTATATATAATGGAGAATAATTAGTAAAATGCTTGTCCCTGGAACACTTATTTGTAATTTTTTACTCGAAATTAAAATAATAACGCTATACAGTGAATAAAGTGAAACATGATATAAATTCATTTAAAAAGCAGATACTACATTTCCAAAACAAAGTTAGCACACGTTCCTCGCAATTTTGTTTTGTTGTAAACGGAAAATATACAGTAGTAGTAAAGTTCTTAAATTGCAATAAATATAATAACAAATGTGTGTCAATTAATTAATTAATTAATTAACAATTTAATTAATGATAAGAACAAAAAACATTGTTATTCTATTAATGTAGTCCGTATAACTCCAAAAATGTGAAACATAAAAAATCATAAAATATTTGACCACGACATAAAAATTTTGACTTACGTCTTTGATAAGGAATTCGATTTTCTTTTCTATCTTTAGCAGAGTTCTGTAGATGAACCTTTTCGACTTGTTGCCGGACAACAAATCAATTTTCTGGCAGATTCGAGTCTGAAATAAGGTTATAATATTCGGGTTGTCGGTAGGTCCCGTATATTCAAAATTCACCATTGCGTTTAAGCAAGTGGACAGCCGATTCCTATCTAAATCTGAGCCGTACTTGAAGCCGTACGAATTCTCCAAAATTTCGACGTACTTTTTGCCCGCTGTAGACAAGTAATTCATTATATCTTTCAAACTGTCGTGCAATTCCTTGGGAGCTGGTTTGGCTTGGCTGAAGAGAGGTTCCAAACTTTCCAAACTGTTTGTCTGAAAATTACAGTAAAACAAAATTGCAGGTAACTAAACTTGCGTGCATAGAAATCGACCAACTTTTCACTTGAATTTCTTTTTTTTGGAACCTGCTGATTAGATAAATAACAATGTTTTTTGCGTGATTTTTACGTGACAATTGTTTCGACAACACCGTGTCTTTATCAAATTTATTTATTTATTATTTATTATATATAATGTGAACTTTTATTTCTTATTTATTATGTAAATATAAAAAAATAAAAGAAAAAAAAAACACCCACACGCAGTTTTGTGTGGTCTCTTCGGTGCCATGATGCTTTTTAACCTTTAAGAGAATCTCGAATCGTCCTTTGCGGCTTTTTAATAATTAGGGCATTCAAATAGACAACACCATAAAAATTACATGAAATTAACGAAGAACACATGATCCGGACTATGGAATACATAAGAAATAAGGATTGTAGAATACATAATGTAAACAAGTAATATTTAAATTTTGTCTGGATCGCTGGAGAATCCCGATTAGTGCATTTCGGATTCTTGTATGTTTATTTTTTGGGTCAAAAATTTACAGTGGGCCGATTTCTATGCACGCAAGTTTAGTTCCTTGCGGCGCGTTTACGAGATACTGCGACATCTTGTCCAACATGTTCGAATTGAACATCCTTTTCCTGAAATCCGGCCAACGCGAGACTAATGTCATGCAAGGCTTGCGACTCCCGTAGTCCATGAAACTCGACCCCCGGTTCGTTTTCTTTAGTTTTCTTCCGGCGGTCGAAGCCCAATGGCTTCCAAATGCGACGGTCAACGATATGGACTTGTCTTCGTACTTTCTCGCGATGCTGTTCACTTCGAATATTGTGGCGAACAAGTACGTGTCCTCGAAATGAAACATTTTTTCCTGGAGGACAATAAACTCGTTATAATTTGCAGATCGTCTCGGCAACAGTTAGATCGAATATCTAGAATGGTCCTGTTCTGAATAATGAAAATCAAAAGATATGTTTCTGAGGACGCTTTCTACTCAATACTGGAAGAACTAGCACAGGGACAAGAGATGATATATTCCAACATCCTACTTCAATCAATTGCTGCAACGGTTCAGCAACCATCCAAGCTCTAAAGTAAACTCCAGACTGATCATTGAGGATAATGAGGCTGAATAACTGGTCCGAGGTCTCCTTGGACTGAAGCAGATATCTAGGAGACTATGGAGTTACTAAGGCTGTCGACGGCCAAAAATGGCCTTCCGGCTTCAGTCAATCACGATAGGACACTGCCATTTACGTTGCCAAGACGAATTGAGAACAGCCGTATGTTCTAATCAGGTAAGTGTTATTCATGAGCCAGCAGAAGGATCCATCGGAATGTCTGGTTAGGAAGGATGGGGGTAGTTAAGAATAGTTATTATTGGATAATATACAAAAAAGATATTTCGCAAAATTTGTTGGATTAGTGTTGAACAAAAAGCTTTGGGTTGCGTTTTCTTTAAAAAATATTAACAATAAATGAAAAATAAAATACTCAATATGCAATATATTTATAGTCCTCAATTAACTAAAAAAATATAGTCGACAAGGTCATTTGGATGTACAATAAAATTATATTGTTTTAATATACGTTATCACTAAGTAGTAAACATAATATTATAAATAAACCAAGTTATAACCAAAACACATTAATTCAAAAATCAAAATAATGCAAGACCGGTTTGACCAAAACAAAGTGTATCCAATAACATAACCAACATACATACAATTAATAAAACAAGGACCAGAAACAGATTGAAATCAAACAAAAAAAGATGAAAAAGAATAAAATTATACAGTTAAAAACATTAAAAGATTAAAACATCATTTATTTTCAAATTATCAATCTTCATAAAAGCTTCAAACTGTTTGTGTACAATGTATAGCTAAAAAGTTTTTTTTTGACTTAAAACTATTTTTCATTAATTTCGTAACAGAGTGAATAAGTAACTAATTCAGAAGATGTTTTGTAAAACTCATGACACTCGCTCCGCTCTTGTCAAATAAACTCGTGAGTCAAATGTCGTTTACCGCACTAGTTGCATAATATACTATTAATACAAAAACTGAAGAAATAGTTAAAATTCTAAGTGTCATTAAAAAATCTTCTACATGATTGTCTGTAGGAAATATTAAAGCAATGTTACTATTCGTTTCCGAATCAGAACGAAATTAACCATTCTACGTGAATACGCTGTTACAATGATTAAACTGCGATAGCAATAGAGTATCGGAAAACCGTTTTTTAGTATTCTGCGGGAGCGTATTCTGGGTCATTGTGTTTCCAGAAAACCTACACACACAGACCGATACCTTAATGCATTTTCACATCACCATCCGGTCCAAAAATCATGGGTTATCAACTCTCTTGATTACCTCTGCTCGTCTCTCTAATAATTTCCATATTGAAGATATCAAAATAATTTCATCACAAAATACACTTCACCACAACCTTATAATAGCAATGAAACCGTAAGCAATACTCAAATAAAGAAATACGTTCAAAAGGCTACCTCCACTGTGCATAGCTTGTTTTTGATAGCTTTAAACCTTTAATTTAACTGTTGAAGATTTTGAGGCTTTCTTTGTCATATATTTAAAAATTTTTTCATTAAACTGCCCCAATTTGGGATCTTCCGTAAAGTTAAAATCAGAATATTTTTATTCTTGTTTCATGAAGACGTTTTCGTGATTAGTTGTGAATGAGATGTAGATAAGCAAGATACATTTATTTCATCTTCATCTTGAATTCAAGAGTTCGATTTGAACTTCAATATTAGGAATTTACATAGAAGTTTTTCCTTTTTAAACGCTTTTTCTTTGGCCTCTTGTCTCTCTTTAGCGCCCCTAATAAATTTGCATTCTTTAATTATCGGAATGACACCTAATAAATTAGAACTAAAAGTTCAGATTTTCACGAAATTATATATTATGACATGACAATTGTTTCGACAACACCGTGTCTTCATCAAATGTAATATTTACAAACCACAAGCTACCCAAAAATGACAATAATACTTTAATTTATTAATGTTGTTGTAATAATTTAAGTTTAATAATGGAGAGGTACTTATATCTAGTTGATCGATAAACAATACATTTGAATGTCTCATTTTGTTAGTCTCCATGGCTTCCAGTAAATTCAGTTTTCTACTTTTTGTGGCTGTATGTAAAATATCAAAATTGTCGTCAAATATATGTTTTTCTGTAGCATAGAAATAGGAATCTAGACTATTGTTTTTGCACGCTCTTTTATGTTCGCTAACGCTTTTCTTGAAGGATCTACCTGTTTGTCCAATATAAATTTTAGGACAAGATCCGCATTTCAACCTGAAGGCACCTGATTTTTAAGATTTTGGACATTTCTTTTTATTGTTTTTTAAAGATATTCCCATTGTGTTGATAGTTCTAAAAGCTATTTTTAAACCACATTTTGACAAATGTTTTGAAACTTTTTCACTGAATTTTCCTATGTATGTAATTGTTTTAAATTGTTCGCGTTCTGGTTTCGGATAAATAGAGTTTACTGTTGTCTGGATTTGTTTTTTATTTATTATTTTTACGATAATGGACGGATTGTAGCCGTTGTTCAGTGCTATTTGTTTAATGATATTAAGTTCTTTGTTGTGATTTTCTGTTGAGAGTGGCATATTAAGAAGTATGTGTATAAAAGAGTGAAAAGCAACCATTTTGTGTGTAAATGGGAAAATCTAATTTGTTTTGCGTTTTCGTAATAGTTAAGCCTAAAAAATTAATAGAGTTATCTTGTTTAATCTCGATAGTGAATTTAATACGATTATGTAATAAGTTAATGTAATTTAAAAAAGAATTCAATTGTCTGTCCGTTCCAACAAAGCAAGCAAAGACATCATCCACGTATCTATACCACCATAGAAAACTTTTACTTAAAGGATGTTCTAGTACGATATTTTCCAAATTATCCATATAAATCTCGGCTTACAAAGGACTAACGACTAAGAGATGTAAATCTGTACATTAAATTCAAAATAATTTTGGTCTAAAGATACTACTAAGTAATCTAATAAATTTCTCAATGGGTTAACCTGCTTCCGAATGAGGATGAAATCTACTTCACTGGGAAATAAGTTTTGTACATCAAAAGACAATAGTGTTGCGTTTTTTTTTTAATTAGAAAAGGGTTAAATTAAAATTTGCCTTCCCTTGCTTTTGCGAAATTCTGTATACATACATTTATCACCTTACATATAAATTTTTATTTCAATTCGAGTCTTCTTTAAATAAGAGAAAAACTGATGCAACTATGAAACTAAGTTATTAAAATTTTAAAAAAATTCTAAAACTAAACTGTGTATATTATTTGAAAATTATTATGTCTGGAAAATTATGTGTAAATTACAACGTTTTGTGCTACTAGCGCCCCCTTTTCATAGATTAAAAAACTAGCTAGTAAAATAACCTCCGTTGTCTATTATCGAGTTGTTACTTGATGTTAAAAATTTTGATGCACTTAAAGGGAAGCAACAAGACCCTGCCGACGTCCTTAAGCTTGTAATTAAACAGAAATCAGTGGCGTACTTAAAACTGCCGCGCTAATGGAATACCTTCAACGCTGGCGTCACTGGTTGGACGTTGATGGTACGCGTGGCACTGGTATGTATCAGGCTGTCAACGAACTGAACCCTCATCGACATCAAAACGGAACCGCCGTACTGTTCCACGTGATTTCTTTCGGCGTACATGTAGACGTAGTTTGGACCGAAAGTCGGTAGAAATCCCTCCACTTGATGGTTGGAGATCGATTTCAAATCGAGGTAGTGCGAGAAGACCGCTGTTTTCCTGTCTACCGTGCAGAAGAGTTCGATTTTTACCCGTTGGGATAACGGGGGAAACAAGTCGGTAATGATGAGGCGTTCGTTAAATGACGGTGATGTAGATTCCTTTCTCGTGGTACTAACCTAAAAAAAAAACGTGATTTTGAAAATTTCTGGATTTGCAGCAGCAGTATATCCGTTAATATTTCAGCTATCGAAAAAATAAAAATACTTCCATAGAGCTTTATTTCCATAAGACTTGATTTACAAGTGTTGGATATTGTCAGGATAATGTAAAAGTATAAAATTATCTTAGTATAATTAGTAAATTAATAATAATGATAATAATAATAATAAGTAATACTGATAGATAAATAACAAATATATAAACAATAACAAACAACGAATACGTATTCGTATTCAGTTCGACAGGTAATTTATTATAAATTTTTAGAGTCAAAACAAAGGGACTATTTGCTGTAAGAGACAGTCGATGTGTAGGTATTTTTATGTTAAGATTCGGTCTTAAACTGTACTGAATATCTGAGTTTCTTGACGGCATATAAAGATTAGAGTTACTTTTTACATAAGTGTCAGTAACGAGTGTTGTGGAAATAGGTTCCGACATAAAAAATTCCAGGGCTTAAACAGTATAGTCCGTAAAATGCGTTTCTGCATCCTAAAGACTTGCTCCGCACGTGGGGAACCTCCCAACAAACCAAGGCGTAGTTGAGATACGAATAGACAAAGAATTCGAGGTGCCTCTATAGATAGCCCAAGACTAATATGCATGTTACTGGATCGATTTTCGAGAGATGTCAAAAACTAGAAACCGCATCGTTATATGTCAAGGCGTTTTTGAGCTACAGGGTGATTTAATGCAACAGACGCAGTTATAAATGTTATTAAGACAATTAAAACCTTATATACTACCTGCATTGTCAAAGATGAAAGATAACTTGTTGTTGTTGATTTTATATTCAATTAATTCATGTTTTAAAAAAATAGAATTGGATATTATATAAGTTAAGTTGGATTTAAAATAGGATACACGAGTTGTAATAAATACTATATATCTGAAATGATACAGAATTGCCAAATTCAATAAAAGTGCTGAATACGGGCGGTTCCTTTTTAAAAAAATGAGTTTTTTTAATTGGTCCTTTATGACCACCCTGTAGATCAGTATACGGATCCATGATAAAATTTTTCAAAAAAATTGCAATTTTAGTTTTCAAGTGTAAAAAAAAACACATTTTTCATAAGGCCTGCTTTTCCGCAAATGGAAAAGATCATTTTTCAAAATTTCGTATGCTATGTAATGGCAAAAAATATTCAAAAACAAGAATTTTTAAAAATATGCATAGCAATCCATTAAACAAAAGATAATAGTTAATTACTGTCCTGGCACAAAGGAACACCCTATAGATATAAAAATGCTGGAAATAAAATATATACTTGCGGCCAAACACATTTTGTATTGAACTTATTTTCCTCAGTGTCGCACTTCTTGAGATGGATAAATGATAGGCGCATCTTAAACGGACCTCCCTGTTAGAAGGTATATTATAATCAAATTCTGGCACTCACGGTCGATCCGGCCAAAGTAATTTTGATTTTCGCGGAGCATCGACTCCCGTGTTTTGTTCCGACTCGTTCTGAAGGAACTGTCAAGTTTTCGCATTCGTAAACGTCGAAGATATACCGAGCGTTCTGTCGGTCGCTGGCGAAACCGTCGGGGCACAAAAGGTTTCTGTAAAATGACAAGTTAGAACCTGAAAGGAGACAACCCATACAGCTACCAGATATATAAAATTACTTATGAAACATTTTTCAAAGAAACTTCCACAGCCTACTGTAATACTTTTTACAAAACTTCTGGACTCCTCCTGCGTCGGTTTTTGCTGAGTCGAAATTGCTGACGTTTCGGCAACCATCCTGTTGGCTTCTTCAGAGCTTGACTGAAACTGTTTCAGCTATTTCCTTAAAATGTGTCAGGATTTCGCAACATCAACTAAGCAATGTTAGAAATGAGTTTTATGATTCCTTGATTGCTTTCGGTATCATTGCTGAAAAATCCGAGAGTCTATAGAAATCTATAAACAACTTCAACTTAGCAATCTTAACCGCGACTCACCTGTCACCAATATGGGAATCAGTCATCCGAGTCCGTGCTTATGCCCCTCATTTAGCTCCGCCCCCCTCAAACAATATATTAGCAGGTACAGAGTAAAATGCCAGCCAGTTTCAGTCAAACTCTGAAGAAGCTTAGTTGGGGAAACGTCAACAAAAACCGACGCAGAAGGAATCCAGAAGTTTTGTGTAAAGCGTGTCTGTATTGAGTTTAGATATTTCAGAAATATTTAAAAAAATGGGACTGAAGTGTATGGTTATCGCTGTTTAAAAAGAAAATAGGGCACGGTTTAGGTTTGTGGGTGAAATGAACATCATCTGATAGCTATACGGTTTAACTAAGGTTACAAACCCTTCTATTTCGTCGTTAACAACGTTAACGGGCAACGTTGGTGATTGTCCTTTGGATAGGACCGCGATGTCAACCTTGAGGTAGCCCGTGGGTCCGCCATAAACGTCAGCTTTCGGATTCACCAGTACCGCCCACTTGTGATAAAATTGGGCATCTGAGTAAGACAAAAATAGTGAACTAGATTTTTCACCATTGAAACGATATCAGTGAAAATATTGTTTGCTTTAATTCTAAAATATTTATAAAAAAAATAGGCACAAAGAGCTTCAATTTTTTAAATAAAAAACCTTTTCTACCAATTCTAACCCACTTTCACAGGCTTCAAGCAGTTTGGATTTATTTAAATATACTGTTAATGTGTACCTGAAGGGTCAGTTATATGTATTGTTCCTTGTCTCATGTCCATATTCAAGAGCCATTTTGTTTATGTATGTATAATTCTTTGGTGTGTTGAGACGTCGTCTTGTAATTGGACAGAATAAAATTTTAATTTTATATGAATTAAAATCTAACATTATTACGATGATTTTGATTTAAAGTATAGATTGGAAGGAAAATTGCCTTTCTAAAATTGATAGACAAAAACGGATATCAGTATCTGCCGCTCCATAGATTTACAAGAAAAAAAAATCGCATTCCTCACTTATTTGAAAGACTATACTAAAACCCAAAATCACCTACTAGTATGCATTTTTTCTGCAAGTTCCTAAACCGAAATGTACAGGGTGAAAAAAGTCCTTTTTTTTTGTGGACAGCTATTTAACTATTTGTTTCAAATATGTTATATTTGCTTTATTATGATCCAAAAATTCCATTTGAAAATTTTTGATCAAATTTGATCAAGCCTGTTGTACAGCGTGTCCTTGGACGTTCTTACCAAATAGGAAAACTTTTAATCATTAACTTATCATTAAAAATGTATTTAAGAGAGCGTTTTCTCTTGTGAGGTTATAGTGGTACAAATGACAGGTTTTTAATACCCACCACCCACGTATTAATACACCAAATCGTAATTTATCACCTACCAGCGTTCATTTTATCTCTGCAAGTCTAAACAGACGGGTTGAAAAAAAAAACATTTCTGACGATAACCATTAAACCATTACTTTCAAATATGTTAGAATTTATTTATTGTAATGTAAAGGTGATTTGGTGCAACGCATATTGAGTTCCGGAATTTCCCTTTAAAAATGTTCAATTTGATCAAGCCTCTTATGCGGCGTACCCTTGGAAGTTCTTACCAAATAGGAAAATTTTTAATTATTTACTTTAGGGAAAAAATGCATCGCCCATTCGATAAGAACTTCTTCAAATCTATAACATGGAGTCCCTCCAGGATAGGTTCTAGGGCAACTTTCCTTCATTATTCACATAAACGATTTCCCCTCATGCATTAGTTCCATCAAATGTCCACTTTTCCCTGACGATACGACAATAATCTGCAGGTACTCATCTTCAACCAGATTAGATGAACTAACTTATGGGGTTCAGCTGAAGGCTCTGTCTTGATTTATTCTTAAATAATCATAAAAACAAAAACTTTTTAATTTCAACACACGCCGTATGTTGTTAAGTTTCAACCCCCCAACAAAAGTCGGCAACAGCTATGGGTTCTCCACTATCGCCAGGCATCGCGAACATATTTATGGAAGCCTTTGAGAAGAAAGCCATCGATATCTTTCATTTAAAACCAAAATTGTAGAAACGCTACGTTGATGATGTAAAACCAGACATCAAATTTTCTTCCTTATTCTAGCAACGAAAAATCCGATAATGTATAGAAATCTGTAAGCAACCCAACAATCTTAACCAAGACTCACCAATATGGGAATCAGTCATCCGAGACGCCATTTACGCCCCTCATTTAGCTCCGCCCCCCTCAAACGATATAAAAGCAGGTACAGAGTAAAATGCGAGTCAGTTTCAGTCAAGACCTTGAAAAAGCCAACAGGATGATCAGCGAAACTAACTAAACGCAGGAGGAATCCAAAAAAATTGAAAGTGTGTAATAGTATCATCAACTAATAGAACGAAAATTACTTGGTTGCGAGACGATGGTAAAAACGTCCAGCTTGGTGGTTCCAAGGAGTTTCCGTTTCCTGCAAAACGTCGCCGGTTGGACCACCTAAAAAGATGTTTTCTGCTCTAAGTACCCACCACAGCACAGAGCAAAGTTACTCACCGCGATGGTTAAAACTTTATCCGCTAGTTGTTCGTAAGTGCAGCTCAGTTCGAATACGAAGTACTGGAAAATATTAGATACGTTCACTAATTGCAAGAATGCGATTGGTCCGGTAGTACCTCATTGTAAAATGGCGAATCCGTGCCTCTTTTTATTTTCGTGCACTTTTTCATTTGGTCGAGAGCGACCGTAACCGCGGAATCCATATTGTCCCACGTGTAGTGCCTGCCTTCTAATATGTTTACCGTGAGAAGGTACGAATCGACTTTTCCTGTCATTTTGACGGTGATCGTTGGATTGAGCGAACTACCAAATGATTACCGGTATTGAGAAAACAAAAACTGGCGCATTCGCCATTCGTCAAGAATATTAGAAAAGTGTCTAATTCCTTCAATATTCAGAACAACGCATTTATGAAACAACACAAAAAATATCGCATCACTTGTAATTTTAAAAATGTTTGTTTTGCTTGGCTTTATTTAAATTTATGTGTCACGGAAACAAAATAAAATAAATCCCGTTTGAAATAAAACCTTAATTCCTCAAAATTAAAATTAAAAACAAAAACACGCAAATTAAGGCAAAGTAAATAATTTAATATCGTTCACCAGCCCTTATTACTGCTTCCATGAGTAGTGGCAGTCCCCCAAAACGACCTTGAATGTACGTCTGTGACATTTCTTCCCATACTCGAGAAAATATATTTTGAAGTTAGTCTATGGCTCTAAATGGTCTTCTGGTTCTATGGTCTATGGTTCCAGACATGCTCAATCGGTTTCAACTTGGTGCTTCGTGCTAGCTAGTTCATGGCAGTAATGTAAACTTTCAATGAATTGCTAAGAGGTGCTGTCAATAATTATTGGCCAAATTTAAATGCATATTTTGTAATTTTATTTCTGCGTTTTCCATAAATATAATTTCAAATTTTGAACTATTGGTATAGAAGTTTTAAGTAAAAACAAAACGCATATTGGTGAAAAAATTCGATAATGGTTGATGCGGCTTTAATGCAATTTTTGATTAAAAAGTTAAAAAAAAATAAATGCCAAAGAAGCTGACAAAACTGACATTTAAGGATTGGCGTCCATATTATGGGAACAGTCGACGACAACATATAGCCTGTATTTTGAAGTGGATGCTTTCCCTAGCTAGCCGCGCATCTCTAGAAAGCAACCGATCAAGAACCTCAATTTAGAAACTATTCGAACTCACCTTAAAAGAGAGAGGTACTTCTTCGAAAGTGTAAGGCTCTTCTAAGGGAGGGAGCAAAATCTGAATGCAGCATCTTTTGTACTAAGAACAAGGATGCACCGCAGTGAGAAATGAATGACTAATGTGTTAAGGTTTTTTTTCTGATTTCAAATATGTGTAATTATTTTCCGTATCAAAAAAGATCAAAGTTAGCTTGCCGTTGTCACAAAGCTTTTAAATTTAATAGTAAAAAACCAAGGTTGATAATATTTCTAAAATTCTAACCTATAAATTTTAGAATTAATTTGATGTGTCACTACTTCTAGCCCGTTCAAAGGTCTCAATATTTGTTTTCATCACAAAATAAAAAAAAACCCTAATTAAAACAAGGTAGGCGTATCGTCGAAAGCATTTAAAATAAGAGTCGGTTTATTAGTCAGATGTTATATTTAACAATTTGCAATAAATAGATGCATTACGGAGGGCTAAATAAAACTTAACCTAACTATTTACAATCGTGTTTACGTTAAACTTTCAACAACCTAAACCTAAGTTTTATTTGGCCGACCTGTCCCCTATATATAGACTAAAACATCTTACATCTTGCGTTTCAGCGCTATAAGAACGTAATGTACAAACAAAAGAAAAACAACTGAATACGAATTGCACGAATAAATTGTATCGTTTTAAACGCCATTTTTTTTGCGAGAAAAATAACTAAAATGCTTTACAAATTGGAACGAACAGTTACAAACATAAATATTGGTTCCGACAAAAAGCTCGGGAATAAGTTTTTACCATAAGAAGGTTTCTTGCATGGTAAAAGCAGAAATAGATCCCGAGAAAATGTATTCTGTACATTTTTTAAATGTACATCGACTGGATATATCTAAGGACCACGAAATACGACTATACGAAAAAGGAACATTGTGTGTATAACTTTATCATAACTTAAACCGACATATTTACAGGTAATCTTAAGAATCGTTGTTCTACTGCAACCAGTCTACCACTACACAGGTATCAAATTTATCTACAGGCCAATTATACGTAAGACACAGGTCAGGAAAATGTGGACAATCCTAGGGATTTGTCTTGTTGATATTCACATTAATTTACAATTTATTTTTACCAAAAACTCAAAGAAACAAAATACGAACGTCTATGTACTTCGAATTAATTTTTCCGGGTTAATGACATTTTAAGCTTCTTTTACGATATGTGTAAACAAATTTTTATATTTTGCAATTTGAATCAATTAAAATAAAATACCCTATTATTTTAGAAAAAAAAATGTTTACCTTAGCCAAAAAAAAAATGTATATATGCCTCACGGATTGACCAATTCTTTTGTAACATGTATTTTCGGATAAATGTTTTGGTAGCTCAACATAACACGAAGCGAACCTTAATAGATGTCGTTGAAGTTAATATTCTGCGAGTTTTGGGAATGTAGATGGTGATGGAGATCTTCGATGGATTGATGGGACATACTGTTCGTGTCCAGGAGAGCTGACCCCGTTGGTGAACCGCTGGCACCTTGGGGTTGAATGCTGTTGTTGTTGGTAGTGCCTTCTTGTCGCATGATGTTTCGCCGCCATTTTGCTCGCGCGTTTTGAAACCACACCTACACGGAGGGAAAGAAGATGCTGGTATTCACGAATCTTAAGTTATTTTAACTGTTACTGAAATTGGGAAAAAATAATCCAAAAAATTGTTTTAACATTTCTGGATTTCTTATGTGAACATTAACAAATAAGCAGAATAAGTAAAAAAATAATTACATTTTTTGATGATATTTTATCCGTGTCCCTATATGTCTGTAGTTTACATGTTGTAATCTTGTTTATAAATTAAACTTGTTTATGGAGAAAACATCAAGCGTATTTGCAGAGACCATAACTCTATATTTCGAGAAAGAATTCATCAAACATGATTCATGAAAAAGCTGAAAATCTTAGACCAAATTTTTGAAATATTTTAAAAACTAACGTCACCAATACCGAAACCATCAAGCTCTTTAAACTATCAAACGATGTGATAAATTTATCATCGCAACAACTTTCTACGACGGAAAAATCAGTTTTTGCAAAAAAAGGATATCACATGAACAACACCAACTGTCATCTCAAACAGCAAATGAAATTCGACTTGAAAGTTCTTCTCTCTAGCAATTTAATACAGTTCGCCACAACCTTCCAAAGACAATTTAGTCAGCAAACAACCCGATCACATATCAAAAGTTTTTAAGAAAGATGCGACAAAGAATACATTGGAGAAAGCAGACGATAAATATTAACTAGGCTCAAAGAACAGAAAAAGTCCTCAAACCACGACAAATAAACTCATCAGCAGTTAAACGGGACATTAAATCTTATTCGATAAAAGTAAAACTCTCGCATTTGATCAATTCTTCTAACAAAGAAAAATTCAAGAATCTGGAATTCAAGGTGAACTGCGACACAGGTTTACCGTCATCCGAACGAATGTCCACGTCCATCCTTTGCTCTTCTCTTCTCTCTAATAATTTCCACATTAAAGATATTAATAATAATATTATATAATAAATATACAATTCAAACCACCAATTGTCCAAAAGCCATTCAACATCTTCGATCCGTCAAAGACAATATTTCGTTTGAGATACCAGAAGCTTGCAGCATTCCGTGCATACGAGGCACAGATTACATTAGAGAGACAGAACAAAAAATATCAACTGGGCTCAAAGAATATGAAGGAGCCTTAAGACTATGACAAATAAACTCCTCAGCAATTGCCGATTACAATCGTAAAACCGGATATCAAATTTCCTTCTTTATTCTTCCGACGAAAAAACCGAGAATCTATAGAAAATCTGTAAGCAACAATCTTAACCGTAACCTTTTACCAATAACAGTCGTTCGAGACAATGTCCACGCGCCTGCTTGGGCTCCGCCTCCTCAAACAATACTATATAAGCAGGTGCAGAGTAGAATACGAGTTTCAGTTGAAGAACTCAACAGGATGATTTGTGAGACGTCAGCAAGTTTGATTTATAAACCGACATACGACTAATTCAGAAATTCTTTTAAATCCAGTTCCATAAACAGTTCTTTCTTTTCTTATTTTTCACAAATTTGAGCATTCGTTGAAGAGGTCTCTTCAACTTATGCAATTTTTCTTTAAACAGTGCCCATAAAATATCTCCATAGGTGCAAAATTTTCGAAATTACAATGGAAAATGGAATCATTAATTATCTCTCCCGTTACCTGCAACACTCGCTTCGACAGGCCGGTTTTCTGAGCGAGCTGCTTCAAATCCTTGGCGTCGGGGTTCTGATTGATCGCGAAATAAGTTTTCATCGTCCTCAGCTGATGGTGCTTGAACGACGTCCTCATCCTCTTGGTCCTCTGCGATTGGTGGCCGTTGCTGGAAGCCGGCGACGTCACCGACGAATCGTACGACAAAGACTCCATGGACGACGACAGTTCACCTTGTTGCAGCATCTCTGACGAAGACAAAGTTAGTATCAGTTGAAATCTGCTATAGCTATAGGTCACGTAGAATTATTATAGTTTTAAATGATCGAGATATACTATTAAAGTAAAAGCTGCTAAGATTTTTCAAAGAGAGTTCCACCGATTACAGTATTTTATTTACAAATCCTCTGGATTTCTCCTGGAACTGGATGGCATTCTATTCAACAACATATTCTCCAGCAAAATATCTAGCGTCTACCTTAAAGGCTTTTGCAGGTGATTATCAAACAGCATTACATTAGATCCGCATGATTAAAAAATGCTTCTCTGGGATATTATAGGATTCATATCAAGCCTCCACCATAGAGTTTACTAGTTGATGCACTCAAAAGCCTTACATTAAAAAAAGTAAATGACCACCTAAACATTGAATTTCTGGAATTTCTCTATGAAGCTTCTAGTCGTTACCAACTGTAAACTTTTTAAGAACTAGAATTAAAGTAGAACTTTCATTTTACTTTGAAGAGGTCGCTTTAAGCAGTTCAAAGATTTTTTTAAATCTGCAGGGTGATTATGTCTCTAATATGTTCCCAAACTGGATGCCTCCTGTGGATGACTGTGTTAAAAACAAATACTATTTAGCATTCCTTACATAGAGAAACAAAAGAGAAATTCGATAAACTTAACTTAAACTTAAACTTATAACTGAAGCAGCAAAGGCAATTATCCAAAAGTTCGCAAAATACAATGAAAAAAAAGTGCTACTGGTTTTAACAAGCATTATAGAACTTGGGGTTCTATTTAATACATAAAATATTTATAATAATCATTTCTAATAAATCTTTTGGCTATGCTGCGTTTCAGATTAATTGAAACGCCGAGTTTTTATGTACAAAATTAAACAAGGCAAGTTATGTTATCAGAGGAATGGATGAGAACAAGGAATGTGTTGTGTGTTAATTTATAGGATTTTTTTTTATATATAAAAAATAAATATAATAAATAAATAAATTAAAGAAATATTTATAATAAAAATAATAAACATAAATATAATAACTAAATATTACAAAAAATAAAGAAGAAGGCTAATGTCTAATATAATATATAATTATAACACCCTACCAATTCACAGTCTTTCGGCAATTGAGAAAGGACTTTATTATCAGTGCATTAAGATGAAAGTTTCATTATTATTATTAATTCAACTACTGCTCGAGATCGGATTTTCGTTGTGAAAAGATACTAAGATACAACAGCAAAGAAATTCACCAGAACCTAACCGTCTTTTTCGCAAAGCCTACTTCAAAATTTTTGCCCTCATTTTGTGGTCAGATCCTACTTCGCACAACTTTACGGTCGTTTATTGTTATTATGTTAGTCAAAGCCTACTCTGAATGCGCAAAGAAAATTCCAAATGCGAATTTCACGAGCACAGCGACTAGAGACCAAACGTAAAGGGTATACATTTTTTGTGCAAAAAAAAGGCGTGATAAATGATATGTTTATTAAGTATGCAAACACCAAGGTGCTAAAAAGTTAGTACGAAAAGTAGCATACATAGCGCCCTATACAATTTGCCCCAGAATTATTCGCAAAAATGAATTTCTCACGTCAAAAAACCGAGATTTGTCAAATTTTGTGCAAAAAGCGTGACTATTTCAGGAATTGTTAAAAAGATCAAAAATAAAATCGTAACTTTGACACCCTGCATCTCGGTTGATATCCACTTTTAAACAATGGTAAGTTCGGTTAAATATTAATAATTTTTTTGCTTTAGAACCTGATTAAACCTGTATATTATACGAGTTGCTGTATAGTTTATTTCTTTCACTTTGCGTAGCAAAACAAAGAGGCTCTAGCACTCTCTAGCTCTATCGATCGATAGTACATCAAACATTCAAACTCTCGTCGGCAAATATCCACGCAGGCACCGAACCACTCGCAAAGGGTCAGGGCTCGTATTTACAGCACTCGAGCACGTCTCCCCGTAGGTTGTTATCCAAACTTTCGCATACACTTACGAGCCAGAAAGACTTCGAAAGCGTCCTTTGCCTGAGTTCGAGGACCCACTCCACAGCAACGTACGTGAAATGTCCGCGTGGGACACGTAATTAAAATTTCGAACTTGTATCGATCCATAAAATAACTGCGAAAGAGTGTGCAGCGATATTTCTTCCTTCTTTGAATACCCTAAAATTTCCTGCTTCCCGACAATGATATTGTGACGTCGCAAGCGATATTTCGTATTAAAAGACCAAACGCATCGCCAGGTGTGCTTGCCAAAGTAATTGTGTTTCACTGAAAACTATCTAACAAACGCGTAAAATAAGTTTGTTTATTGCGAAATTCCCAGAAATACCCGAAAATGCTCCAAGTTTTTTTGGAACTCCTTATCCTCGCACATTAGGTTAGGAGCATTATATTGGGCAAATCTAACAGGTCCGTTGGTACCTTCCTCGTAGGGAAACACATAACTCGTTTTCCCATAACATTTTACAAGATCTAAGCATATCTTGAGAAAATACTGCCGTAAAAATGTCGCATCTATCAGCGACCATGTTGGTTGTTCAATGCCATAAGGTCATTGGTTAAAAACGAAAGCCTCCACAATATTTTTTTCATGGTTGCTTTATCGGAATAGGCAGGACCTCTATATCTCGAATAACTATATAGGAAAAATGTTATCAAAGCCGAGGCTTTTGACTCATGTTGCTGTGGGTAAACAGCATTATACTGGGCCATGGGGCTATTTTACGGCAGTCGAGGAATAACTCTCACAAGGATTTCTCCTGCGACCAACTTGCTGACGTTTCGCCAGCCATCCTGTTGGCTTCTTCAGAGCTTGACTTAAACTGGCTCGTATTTTACTCTGTACCTGTTTATATATTGTTTGAGGTTGGCGGAGATAAATGAGAGGCATAAACCCGGTCTCAGATAACTGATTCCCATATTGGTGACAGGTAGAGACCTGCGTCGCGGTTAGGATAGTTAGGTTGTTTATAGATTTCTTTAGACTGTCGGATTTTTTTGTTGGCAGAAGAACTGATTCGTGTTCGGCAACAGCTGATGAGTTTATTTGTCTTAGTCGTAAGGCTCTTTCGTGTTCTTTGAGTCTAGTTGATATTTTTCGTCCGGTCTCTCCAATGTATTCTTTGCCGCATGTGCATGGAATACTGTAAACTCATCTCAAATCGAATTTTGCCTTTGACGGACCAAAGATGAGAGATTTTTGGACAAGTGGTAAATGTGGTTTTGACGTTATACTTCTTTAGAACTTTAGATATGTGGTCAGTGATGTTTTAAATGTAAGGAAGCACCACACTGCCATGTGTAGGATTGCTTTCGGCCTCATTGCCATTGGAAGGTTGTGGTGAAATGTGACCATGCATTTAGTTATCGGTCTGTGTGTGTAGGTTTTCTGTAAACACAATGACCCAAAGTTAGGTCTGATTTTCTATTGATAAGAATATCTATGAATGGAAGGTTATTATTAGGTTCCAACTCAATGGTAAAATATATGTTAGGGTGTATAGGGTTTAATGTTCAAAAATTTGGCCGTTATAAAAAAATATGTTCCCAACAAGCATTTTTCAATTAACGTGAGAAGGTTTGGTTCCAGATTCTCGGACTTTAATATATCTGAAATGATGTCGAGAGTTTCAGGAATAGGAACTTTGATATAGAGGGATTGTACTAGGGAAACTAACTAGAATATCTTGTGTATCTAATGTAATGCTTTTTAATTGTTCAAGGAAAGGAATTAAGTACGAAACTGTCAGTTTTCCCTGTAAGGGGTTTTAATAAGGAAGCTGGATATTTTGCTAGAGTATATGTTGGAGAAGAGGTCGAAGGGGTAATCATGGTTTGTGAATCTAGAGACGAGGAATTTTAGAGTCATGGGGGTAGCAGATTTTTTTCATGGAGTCTGACAAAGCCTTAATAACAGATTTAAGGTTGCGATTCATAGATGCCGTAGGATCTTTTTTAAGATGATCCGCCTGTAAGAATATCTTGCACCTTTTCCTGATATTCAGTTGTTTCCCTGACTGCCGTAGCATTTCCTTCATCTGCTTTTAGGACTACGATATGTGGATTGGATTTTAGAGATTTGAGGGCGATGCGTTCAGGCTTTGCAATATTGGATTTAGGAGGTTTTGATTTTTTAAGGATTTTTGCAGTTTCAAATCGAATTTCGTTAGCTGTTTGAGATGGCAGTTTGTTTAGGATAGACTCGACATTTGAAATGATTTCTTCTTTTGGAGCCTTTTGAAAGAACTAATTTTTCCGTTTCCGAAAGTTGGCGCGATGACACATTTATTACAATGTTTGGTAGTTGAGAAGAATTCGATGGTTTGCCTAGCGTTGACGTTACTTTTCCAAATTTCTAAATGTGATTTTGGGTAGTAGATAAATAAAGATTTAAAGCTTTGTCATGATCATGTTTGAAAGGCGAATCATGTTTGATTGGCGAAACGTCGGCAAGTTCGATTCAGCAAAAACCGACGCGTGGAGGAATCCAGAAGTTTTTTAAAAAGTATTTTAAAATCTTGTTTGAATAGGAACAATACAGCTTAATATATGGTTATAATTGGCATCTAAAAATATTTCAGGTTTTAAAATATTATCGGTTCTACTCGAAATCAATGTAATTTCAAATGCAACATTTAGTTTTGGTTGCCATCTTGTTCGCAAAACCAAAACGAATTTTTCACACAGTTATTGAATGTGCATAAAAACAGTGCATGTAATATGTACAGTATTTTATACAGGGGACGTCGAAAAAGTGCACTTCTGAAAGAGCAGTAGTAATAATAAAAAGCTCTTTTTTAAATGCATACCCATTGGTACGGAGCAGTGTAGGAACAATTAGTGGAAGTTGTTTCAAATTTCGAATTCGAAAATGCAATAAAAAAAAAAGTTCCGTCAGTGTTGAGACTGATTTCATGTAAACCAGTGGCCAGGGGTCGGTAATGAAGGGGCCGATTTTTAAATCAATTTTAAAAAGAAAACTTCATACGAATTTATGCCCTAGGAGTCTTAACTTTACACCAGTGGCGGGCGGGCTGAAGTACGCATACGAAGTACGTAAACTCTGAGGTGTTTTTTTTTATCTTTATAATTATATCTCATCATAGCAGTAGGCTGTTCTGTTGTCAAATTTTCTAGTTTTGCATGTTCAACTTTTTTTCAAAAAGGTTGTTATTAATTTATTATTAGACAATTTTGCTAAAAATTATTATTATTATTATTAGGTAGTATTTTTTTTATAAATAAAAATCGTTTATTATTTATTTTGTTGTCCGGATGTTATCTTATTTCATTAAAACTGTAAAAGAAAAAGGACAGTCTTCTAATTTTTTTTCCTGAATGACACTAGTTGGGAATTAAAAACTTTGTATTTTGTATTAGATAGTTTTTTTTTCACAAGAAAAAATTCTCAATTTAACCACTGCAGTGGCGACCTAATTAATCAAAATATTATTTGTTCATAAGCAGTCAGTGGCGCGACACTGATTTCCTTAAAACAATAAAAATTTGCATTAGTTAGTAAAAATAAAGGCTAACTTCTCGGCATGCTGTCATATTAACGATATTGTAATGACTATACAGAGAAGAGGTTTTTTTTTAAACGAAAAAGAGCATATGTTTATATGAAGTTTTTTTAGATATAACAATTGTTCTTACATGTTTCTAAAAAAAATTGACTTAATTAGAGAAAGATATGAAAGCATAACTCTGGCTTTTGGCAAAATGTAAGACGTACGCAAAGATCTTTTAATTACTTCCCGTTAATAACAACGTACACGTTCGCCAATGAAGAAAAAAAAAGACAAATCCCAAATGCGAGTTTTCCATTGCGAAACCCATCGATTTGTTCAAAATTTATCGCCTCCACTTTAGAATTACAACTACGGCATTAAGCACGTCCCCCAAGTCGGCCGGTAGTTTTATTTTCTCCGAAAAAAACAAAACTGTGGGCCCGATCGCGAAACAAAACGTGCCAGTATATCGAGAGTCGATATCGACGCGTAATTTATAGGGTCGCTCCTACCGGTGGGTGGCCGAAACCCGAAACAGTTGACAGATGAAAAGTATCCCCGAGATCGGCGATTGGATAAAAGCACGTCCGGTAGCCCGATTGGTTTGGAAAAACGTTATGGCCCCCGCTTTTTTGAATAAATATGTGGACATTCCGTCCCGAGGCAGACCTATCGTCGTCTAGGAATTACTAATAGATGTTGTTTATGGTGGTACCGCGTCGACACCTGCGGTACCTATCGGTAAATGTAAATTAGGGAGACAGAATTCGGACGGCGAGGACATTCCTGCATTATGGGGCTTCCATTTGGGAGGACCAAAAAAAACCTAAGCGTCAGTAGGCGAAGTCTCACCGATACATCAAGATTGATACGGATTTACCGGCGATGTAATTTGGATTTTTAGGATTTGCCCGGAATGTACTGCCCATATCGGCAGCGTATTTAAGAGATTAAAGTATGTTCATAGATATAAGAAAGTGACTAACTGATACGAATTAAGGAAACTGAATCCTCAGACAAAAAGATAAATTATAAAATTTGTGCAAAAAATTCGAGTTCTATTTTAACCAGTTGAGAAATGTTCAATTATGATACTCAATTGTAATTAAAGTAAAATTATAAAAGAAAATATCGTTAAAAATTTGGTAAAATATTAAAAAATCATTTAAAAGCTCATTTCATCCAGATAAACTCAAATATTTATGTACGTTGTGAAAACTCGCCGATTTAATGAATAAATTAAAAATATTTATTAAAAACTATGAATATAAACGCCCATTGGGATTTCAATACGTATTCAATTCAATAAGTATTGGGTTGTTCGGAAAGTCATTTCGTTTTTTTTGGGGAACATGAAAGACAGTTTTCGTATAATGAATAAATATTTTATTAAATTATATATTGGCCATTCTGGTCCAACACCTTTTGCCATCTTTCTGGCAGTAACATAATTCCCCTCTCATAAAAGTTTTGGTCCTTGCTGGCAAAAAACTGGTTCAGGTGGTTTTTGACATCTTCATTTGAGGTAAAGGTTTTGCCATCCAAAAAATTTTGCAGGGACCGGAACAAATAATAGTCGGAAGGCGCCAGATCTGGAGAATATGGTGGATGTTGCAGTACGTCCCATTCAAGCTGTAAAAGTTTTTGGCGAGTGACCAAACTTGTGTGAGGTCTCGCATTATCCTGGTGGAACACTACACCCTTCCTGTTGATTAATTCGGGCCTCTTCTCTTTAAGTGAATCATTCAATTTGTCCAGTTGATGACAATAGACTTCTGAATTAATCGTTGTATTGTCCGGCAAAAGCTCAAAAAAACGATTCCTTTGACATCCCACCAAACGGAGAGCATCACCTTTTTTTGGTGAATGTTGGCTTTTGGCACGCTTTGAGCCGGTTCATCTTTTCTGCTCCATGACCTCTTGCGTTTAACATTGTTGTATACAACCCATTTTTCGTCCCCAGTAATAATCCGCTTCAAAAATGGATCATTTTCTTGACGTTTGAGGAGCGAATCACACACGTCAACGCGACGACACAAATTTCGCTCCGTAAGGACATGGGGCACCCACACATCGAGCTTCGAGGTTAAGCCCATGCCTTTCAAATGGCCATAAACAGTCGAATTCGACAAATTTAATCTCTCACCGATTTCTCGTGTGGTTATTCGCCGATTTGCATCAACTAATGCCTTTATCGTATCTTTGTCAGCTTCGACCGGCCTTCCAGACCGTCGTGCATCTTCGACATCAAAATTGCCGGATCGAAATTTTGCAAACCAGTTCTGGCACTGGCATACTGTTAACACGCCTTCTCCATACACATCCGTCAATTTATTTCTCGCTTGGACAGCATTTTTACCTTTTCTGAAGTAAAAAAGTAAAATTTGACGAAAATGCTGCTTATTGCTCTCCATATTTAAAAGGGCATCAACCAAAAACTACTGCGTAGAATTAATAGAACTTTTTCACACACAAGCCTTGCAATATCAGCTCTCAAGACATATAATGGTTATGCGGCTTAAGTGTAAAGTTGGTTTCGAAAAAACGTAAATTAAGTCCTCTGACGGGAAAAAACGAAATGACTTTCCGAACAACCTTATATATGGCTATCAGCAAGAATAATATACCAATGGGACAACTACTGGTTAATCAACAACCAATAATTCGCGTCTCAAGTAACGTGTTCCTGGGAACAGATGTTAATGAGAAATGGGATCATTCAGTTGAAATCAGACAACATTCTTGGAAGTCACACTCTCATCCGTGAATTCTGGACATTGACAGAGGCGTCTATGAAGAAACTAGAGGCTTTTGAGATGTTCGCAAACATTCGCAAAATGGATAAGGAATGTGAAATCATAAACAACGTAAAGAGGCGCAACGAACAGTGATACGGTCTGTTGCAGCTTCTTCTCAGGGTAAGGTTTTTGGAAAAAGAGGTCCGGGACGGAGGACAATCTCATGGCTCTACAATCTAAGAATGTGGTTCTCTCTTACAACCACAGGACTCTTCAAAGCAGCAGTAGATAAGATTTGAATAGCTATTCTAATAGTCATCATTCGAAACGATTATTCACCTTAAGAAGAAGAATATTAAGAGCTCATACGTGGTAAGTACTTTCTAGAGGCAACTGGAAACTAGTTTTTGTGTGCCAGATCCAAAAAAAATAACGTTTTTCTTTACCCACACTAACCATCGGCCTTGTGGTACGATCTCGTGCGTTATCGCGCTTAATATTGAAATAAAAAATAATATTCCTGGGTGCATGGACATCAAATATCGCCCCCGAGAGTCACCAAATCCCCCCGCCATACAGGCCCACGACGCGGTAGACGCAACAATCTTCCGAAGCGAGCGGAAAAATAAAACAATCGACAACAAGACAATCTCCGGGGTAGCGTCTCAGAAATGGTCGCCATAACAATTAGGCCTAATCTAAATGCCCGACTAATTATTGCCATTAATTCGAGACCCCGGTGAAAAAAGCGCCATCCGTAATATGTCCGACTATTTTTAAGCCATTGATTAAGGCCCGAGATGGGCGGTGGGAATCGCAGCAAAAAGTTGTCCTGCGAAACTCGTACGGCGGCAGGAAATCGTCCCCGCATTCGAGACCGGGTACTTGTACGATTGGAACAGTCCGAACCGGCCTCATGTCGTCTGAATCGCGAATATTGATTGATTTACTGACATCCGCGGTAGACATGCGAATCAATATCGGCTTTGTTTTAGGTCGCTGCAGATTGTGCCTTCTTAATTACGCGTCAAAGGAAGGGAAGAACAGCAAAATTGAAGAATACTGATAATATATAACAATAATAATAATAATAATAATAATAATAATAATAACAAATGGTACGTCAAGAATGTGGGGCAATTACAACGGTTATCGCAGTGGAAAAAATATATAAAATAAACATGAATAAAGTTGTCTGGAAACTGGCTCTCATTCTACTTTGTACTTGCTTATATATTGTCTGATATTTCAGAGACAACCTGTATATGGTCGGACGCTTATTGATTTGCGGTCGCGTTTTCGACAAATAAACGCAATAAAAAAAAGTAGAGGGGAAAAAAGGGGAGAAAAGGCGACTTACCCAACGTAGCGGCAGCCATTCTCATCGTAACCGGCAACTCCCCCCCGCAGGGGGAGTCGTCGCTCGGGGGTTTCCTTTTCCTCGGTCGTCCTTTGTGATTCTGGGGCGGGGTCGACGAGGGGAAATATCCGGGGGACTCGCTCCCCCTGAACATCATATCGAGGGGTTCGTTGCCGGGATCGCACATCTCTAGCATTTGGTAATGAGGTCTATTGAAACAAAAACTGCAATGGTAAAAGTTACTTTAGGGATCTCCTCGCTTAATAACTCGTTTTTCGAAATAGGAAAAATTTTCGAATTTTTAGTATGGCGATGTGGCGACAGAGGGAGCCTTCCTTCGTAATTTAGAGAGTTAGACAAATTAAAAGTTTGACTCGCTTCGGTAAAGAATGTTCTTTGAGGTTATGTTCGCAGATTGTCGTTTAGTCGTTTAGTTTTAAATTTTAATTATTAATTTAAATTTATTAATTAAAAAAAAGTTTAATTAGTAAAAGCAATAGAAAGCAAAGAAAAGCAGAATATGATTGAACAGAAAACTTTTATACTAAAGAGCCAAAAAAAAAAAAATGAGCACTTCAGTTCCAATTTATCTAATCAAAAATTAAATAGATAGGAATCCGCAGCAAACCACATAGGCAAAAAATATATTTTTTGAAAGGACTTGCTTTGCTCAGAAGAATTCTGCGACTACTTTTTTGAGCCTACTTATTTTGGGCACCTTCTTAAAATTTTGAATATGGAAATATATTTAAAAAACAAGTTTTTTTCAGAAGAAATCTTTGACTAGTTTAATGAACTTGTTTATTTTGAAGACTTTTGTCTTAGATTTTCATAACTTCATAACATCTTCTATATACTTCTCCAGATTATAAGATAGTCGAGCTAAAGCAAGACGAAAGAAGAACAAGGAATATTATTGAAAAGAAATTTTTGTGAATAAAAATAGTAAAGAAAATAATGGAAAAACTTAAAAAAGGTTAATCATATATATTCGACTATTAACGTTTTCGAGATATCGCCACTTTTTTGTAATTTTGAGCACTTTGTTTCTAATTTATTTAACCAAAAATTAAGTTTTATTCATTCAAAAAACACATAAAATTAATTTCAGTGAATCAGTTTATTGTTAGTAGTTGAAAAAATACAACAAAACGTAGTAGAAATTTTATTTTTCGATAATATTATTTTCATTTTTTTCTTTGCTGTGGGATAGACTGGTAAAGAAGCATTTAATTTTTAATCAGATCTATTCTTTGTACTATTTCGCTTTTAACTAATATTTGTTATGAACAGAGTTAAATTAAAACAAAACGTTTTATTTTTTTGGTGTTTGTGAGATTATAATGTACTAAATGTAGCCTTAAACAATGAATAAGAATCTTGTAAATTAGGAACTTAAGGAAAACTTAAATTACTATGGGCATCTTACGTTTCGTTGAAAACTTTAGTATCAGAATGACTGTTGCAGATTTACTTTATAATCCTACATAAACAATTCCTAATTACGTTATTTTTAATCTGGAATTTTAGTATAAATTAAAGTATAAATTGACTTTTTTAGCAATTTTTATGTTAAGATTGTATTATAATAACAATTATACCATTGTTATTTGACATCCTCGTTAGTTTAGTCTTTGTCATTATTACAACATTACTTTCGATAACGTCATCATCGCTTTGAATTTTGGTTTATTTGTAAGTCCAAATTGATTACTTTCCCGCCATTTTTTATAAGATCTGTCATGTGTGATGTAACTATTAACTCTGAATGATATTTTGAACATTTTTTTTTCAATTTGCTACACTGCACCTACCTGCAAAATATCAATCCATCCCGCATTCCGAAATGGTCTCCCTTCGACAATGGGATTCCGCAAGACGTACAAGAAAAGCAGTGCAAGTGATAAACCAGGTCCCGTGCTCTGATGACAAGTTCGTTCGCTGATATTCCTGCGTGGCACCGTCCACAGCGGGTTACTGCGAACATCCTGCAACAGTAGCACACGTATGAATGAATTAAATTAAAAAAGCGAAACTTTTATTAACGCTAAAACGTAATTCCATCAGATTTTTGAAGAAAAGGATGCTGCTGGCTCGCGCAAACTTCTCTAGAAGTGACATTCGCCGAGTAAGTGACCGAAGAAAAAAAAACGTTTAAAAAAAGACGCAATCAATGTCGCAACATTGTCAATAAAAGTCGCATATCGGGCGACGCCATGCGATTTTTCATCGCTCGCAAGAAACCGGTATAAATTCCATATAGTAAATATTTTAAATTGATTTATGTCGATAAATTTATGTTTCGGAATAAGGCAAAAACAAATTCCCGGCAAGAAATGCACCCAACCGGACCATATTAAAGAAAACGAATAAATAACATGTCCTTTTAGAGCCAGTTCCAGTATGACGGCAAAAACGAAAATGTCTTCTGTTTTCTTCATTGAAAATGCGAATTATTTATTATATTTTATACCTTTTGAGAACGATAAAGGATGGTACATTAAATATTGATCAAATTTATTCACGGACCAGGGAAAGCTTATCAAATGAAAACTGTGGAAACATCTAGTGATACCAGCTGACAAATTCGAAACACCAGTGTTGACTAAAAAGCTTCGTAATTGCACCTAAATGTGAACCATCTCCTCCAGAATTCTGGGACAACCGATCAATAAAGAAGAAAGGAGAATTAAGAACATGATGATGATGGAGCGGAACAAATGCTAGCGAAAAATTGAACTGAGGTGGCTTTTGCTTGAAGAAAATCCATTTATCAAAATAAATAAGAACTAAAAGTTCAGATTTTCACGAAATTATATATTTTGACATGACAATTGTTTCGACAACACCGTGTCTTTATCAAATGTAATATTTACAAACTACCTGCTACTATATATACCGAAAAATGACCAATTCATTTGAATATCCCATTTTGTTAATCTCCATGGCTTCCAATAAATTTAATTTTCTACTATTTGTGGATGTGTGTAATATATCAAAATTTTCGTCAAAAACGTGTTTTTCTGTGTTTAAGTGTGTAGCATAATTAGAATCTAGACTATTGTTTTTAAACGCTCTTATATGCTCGTTAATGCGTTTCTTGAAGGATCTACCTGTTTGTCCAATATAAATTTTAGGACAAGATCCACATTTCAACCTGTAGACACCTGATTTTTTGGATTTAGGACATTTCGATTTATTGTTTTTTAAATATTTTCCTATTGTGTTGTTACTTCTGAAAGCTATTGTTAAACCACATTTTGAAAAATGTTTCGAAACTTTTTCGCTAGGTTCTCCTATGTATGTAATTGTTTTAAATTGTTCGTGTTCTGTATTTGGTTTCGGATAAATAGAGTTTACTGTTGTCTGTATTTGTTTTTTATTTATAATTTTATCTATAATGGACGGATTGTAGCCGTTGTTCAGTGCAATTTGTTTAATGATATTGAGTTCTTTGTTGTAATTTTCAGTTGAGCGTGGCGTATTAAGAAGTATGTGTATAAAAGAGTTAAATGCAGCCAACAAAATTAAAGATGTCAAAATCCCTTCTAACGCAACTCTATTGTCTTTTGATGTACAAAACCTATTTCCCACTATGGATGTGATAGATTTAGTAGATTTTACCCTAACTCGGAAACAGGTTAACCTATTGGTGAAACAAGGTTTATTAGATTGCTTAATAGTATCTTTAGATCAAAATTATTTTGAATTTAATGGACAGATTTATATCTCTAAAGAAGGTTTGATTATGGGAAACCCACTTAGTCCTTTGTTAGCCGAGATTTTTATGGATAATTCGGAAAATATCATACTAGAACATAATTTAAGTAAAAGTTTTTTATGGTGGTATAGATATGTGGACGATGTCTTTGCGTGCTTTGTTGGAACGGACAGACGATTGAATTCTTTTTTAAATTACATTAACTCAATACATAATCGTATAACATTCACTGTCGAGATTGAACAGGATAACACTATTAATTTTTTAGACTTAACTATTACGAAAGTGCAAAACAAATTAGATTTTTCAATATATCATAAACCTTCACACACGGACACAGTCATACATAACAGCTCAAATCACCCTTCTTAATACGCCACTCTCAACTGAAAATTACAACAAAGAACTTAATATCCTTAAGCAATCGAAAACTCTTTTTTATCATGTGTATCAACATAACAAAAAAATATATCGAAGATCGAGTATATGTAGTCCGCCCATTTACAAAAGTCACATTACTTTTTGAGCACACCTCGTATGTATTAAAGTGAACAAATAAATATAGATTTAAACACGGTGATAGGCAGAATAGGGAGAGTACCCAATAGACACCAGTAAAATGAAGGACATTGTCGATATTTTAAAAAATAAATGTAGCTTTGATCACTTTAATATCTGTTCCAAATTATTAAAATGTGCCGATGTGCTTAAAATCTCCAAGCTAATACATAAAGGCGGAGAATTAACACTCAACAATTTGAGACCTTCGTTTTTAATACCTATTTTTTCGAATATTGTTGAAACGAAAATATGAAAATGAAAATATATCACGAAACAATCTACTTTACGAAAACCAATAAGGAATAAATCTACATCTCCGGCTTTAGTAAACGTATTAACGGAGATAATAAAAGTACGTTAAAATATAAAAAAGGGTTTCTCATTCGACATTAATAAAATCGAAAAAAATAATTTTGATTTAAATATGGTCATAGTTGAGTGAGAGATATCAATATGTAGCATGTGGACAAGCAAGTTTTGAGGGTGGTGAACGGGGTCCCTCAGGGTTCAGCTCGGGGTCCAGTTTTATTTATAAAATACGTACGACATTTATCAACCCATTTCATCCACAAACACCAAGAACTCTGAGAAGTCTAGAACAACTTCACTTGCTGATGACACAGCTATATCAATAGGCAATGGTTTTTAGGGCAATAAGTCATCCTTAAATGAAACCAAAATAGTTAATATGATTTTTTCTAGTAGGCGTGTCGATGAAGCTACAAATTGTAACAAAACAAAATTTCTTGGTGTTAGAATGGATGCGAAGCTGGACTGGAGGGAGCGCGAAAACTTTCTGACTGACAAGATCTTCAAAAGCATCTTCGCTGTAAGATAATTAGTAAACATTGTAAACTTTGACATACCGAAATCGGCATATTATGCCCTAATTCCCCTGACATGGGCTCGTGCACCTTCAAGCTCTCATGTCTTCTCATTACAACGGAGAGTGCTAAGAATAATGAACTAACAAAGTGAAAAAAAATAAAAAATTATAAACCAGTTCTTTACATTTAAACCCGTTCTTCAGAAATCTTATAAATTCTTTACCTATACCACAGACCAAGAGCAATACGTTTTTGTTCACCTTCACCTTCACCTCACTTCACTAGCTCTGGAAGAATTGCCTCAGCCTATAATAGCCTAAGATAAGCAAGAAGCAAGCGAAAACAACACCATCTCAGTCTTTGTCCCGTTCAATCAAATTCCGTTACGCTCACAATATCGGGTCATACCACTTACTGCCCTAGTGGCCAAGAACGTAAGATCTTCCAGACTCCTAGATGACATTGCCATCGAAACATAATTGTCTGGGAAAGAATCAGATATATCATTAATAAATATTATACATAAAAAAGGTCTTTAGATGAGGATCTAATCACAGAACTATCACTTCTAAGGGCTACTTTTTGGTCACGGCCCTTCAAAAACGACTTTATCCAGGCGTAACTATTCCCCCATATACCGCAATTATTTAGCTTATTCAACAACAAATTAACATTAAGCACATCAAAAGCTCGCTTGAAGTCAAAGAACATAACATAATGTTTTATTATTCAGATAAGGAAACTAAACTGAGTAGATAATCCATTGGGAAAATCAAACTGAGAATTCGAGAAACATTGCTACTTTTTTAGAAGTGCATCGAGCCGCACGTAAAAACAATTTTTGAATATTTTGAAAAAAATCAATAGAAGTGATATTCCACGGTAATTATAAATTAAATAAATAAAATAAATTTTTTTGGCTCTGTTGGCCCTGTGCATGCATCTTTGATAGACGAGTCAAACAATTCCTGAAAATATTTATAGAACAAGTCAAATTGCTCTTCAGCTGTACCAACACCGTCAAACAAAAACTGCCAGTCCACCCTAGATACTTCAACCTGAAATTCATTTATGTTACTTTCACTCTCAAAACAAAGTGTGTAGAAAAAAGATGGAGGAAAGTTGCAAAAAGGTATAGATAGCATTTGCATATGGATTATGGATTCGAGTGTATTCGGTTACAGTTCTACTGAACCCGTAACTTGCAAATATATTTACAATATTAAGAGACTCGCCTGAATTAGCGTTTCCTAAGTGCACCGAATGACTGAGTCTTAAATTTAAAAATTCATATATCTTTAACTCCAGAAAGTCCACAAAGTATTTTGTAGTAGATTACTTTTCCGAAATGTCACTTTCCCGACTCAATCTAGAACCAAAAAAGGATGTTAAATTGAAAAAATGTTTAGAAGATTAGCAGATGCAGTAAAAATGATGCAGCAATTACGGCTATGGAATTATAAACAATTTAACGATAAATGTTTGTATTGATTTGAATTAGACTGTCGCCATAAATAATGTTTTTGTGGCTCCGCGTCAGGATGAACGAAGATAAGACATTTTACTAGTGACAAAAGGTATCTCGTCATCGATCAGGCCTGGTTTCCTTTCGAAATTGATTCACAACTCGTATCAGGAAATCTGACAGGCTTCCCTTTCCCACAAGGTTTAACGCACGAGATATACGATTGAATCGAGTACGCTGGAAATTGTATAGAATAAATTGCAAAGTGCAATTGTTGTTTTTTTAATAAAATAGGAAGACGCCGCTCATTGAACTATTTAAACAACAATTTCAATCTATAAAGTATGAAATTTTGAAAAAACCACTTGTTAAAGCTTTAAAAAATATCACATTTCGTATCACCCTAAATATCCT